GTACTGGTTACTAAATAGACCTTCCTATAGGTCTACTTCCGGTAAATCGGAAGTGGCGGCCACCTTAAAAATATTTTAGATCAAGAAATCCGAATAAACAACCCATGCTACCGAAATTTCAAACCTCTATGACTAGTAGAACCTGAAAAAGTTCTAACAAACCAGTTATGTGAGACACTCTGTATACATGTACAGTGTAACAACAAATTTTTTTTCTGAAAAAGCGTCAAGGGTTACGATGTTTTGAAAATTAGTAAAAATACTTAGAACTGTGTTCTATTGTGTGGTAGAATTTGGATCAATTCGAAGGTGGACATCAGGATGAAAACATCCCTTTATTGGAAGTGGGGGTTGAAAAATTTTTTTTTATCAAATGGGGTTGTAAGTTGTTCTTGAAGATAAGAGTGTCCCGTATATGAAATTTGGCGACCCAAATCGTATTGGTTACAGAATTATTAACGTTTTAAGTTTATGGCTGGAATTTATGGATAACTTCACACCAGTAAGCTTTTTAGCAGTGATAATGGCAGCAAGGTGTTTATTTATTTAATTGTTTATAACTCACCTGTGCCTGTTCATCCAACTGCATTTATTTATAAAGAAATTATAATAAATACTCAAAAACACTCCATATTTTTTATTTCTTTTAAATAAAAAATTTTTACCTGATCTAAAAATTCCGGTTCATTCGCCGAAGCATCCCAACGATTATTCAAAATAAATATGTTTGGTTTAGAAAGTTTCGTTGACACTTTATGAAAGAAATTTTTCTCCTAAAATTAAAAAAAACGATAACAATCAACTTAACATTAAAAAAAAAGCAACCCACCGTAACCATCAGTGTAGATTCAGCATTCGCAACCAGCACAAACACATCGGCATCTAAACAATGCTTATCGATCCATTCGTCTAAGTTTGGGGTAACATCAACACCGGGGGAATCAACAAAAACAACATCGTCGCGTAAAAGAAAGCAACGATTTCTTGGCCAAAACACCCGGACTAATTGTGATTCACTCAATTTCTCTTTACACAAAGCATGGGCGAGTTGCCCAACGGATTCTACAGAACATTTTTCATCGCTTCCTTCCAAAACTAAATAAGCCTCATCATTAGGAGATCCCTCGACTTGTAAAAAACAATTTGTAGTGTGCCCTATTCCGCTTGGTAAGATCTTATCGCGTAACATTGCATTAATAACCGTGCTTTTTCCATTCGATGTCCTCCCGAAAAAAGCTACTTTCATGTGATCGCGAGCCAAAACATCTCGAATACCATGAACTTTATTAACAAATTCTTCCGATTTCTTAACCGAATTTCCATCAATAATTTGTTGTTGCTTCTCCAATTCGTGCATATAATTAACGGTATCTTTAACATAATCTTCAATTTCAACGAAAATATCGTTAATTTTCTTTTTCGCCCGAACGAATATCTGCAAAGGAGAGTTGTCAGCGCCGTTTCTAATCACCGGATGACGAAGATCACTGGAGCCTCCGACTATAATCGGACGATTGTGAGGACCATCCCCGGACATCATTGAAACAGTGCGATTTAAATAAGCTGCCATTGTGTTGTTGTGCGAGAAAGGTCTTCACTCAATAATAAACATCTAACATGCAAACAGCAACTGAAACAAACAAAAAAATAAATTATTTTTAATCTGCAAATTGTAAATGTGATGAAAACTAAATAAACAGGTTATAAAATAAAAAAGTGAGGTTATGAAATTTTGCGAAATGTCAAAAATGACATTTACTACAAAAAAAAAACTTAAAAAATCATGTTCTATGTCTAAAAATAACACATAATTCGTAATAAGCACCACCATGCATAATTAAATCAAAATGAAAACAAGAATTCATTTAAACCTGTTCATTTCGTAGCATTCTCCACCACGACCTAACCTCAACACGCTATAAAATAGAAAAAAAAATCGATATCATATCGTCATAATTACATCTTTAATTTGCAACGAAATTGTTTTGGATTGCCAAAACTCACCTTAAAACGCGTAATCTAGCCGTTTTACTGCGTCTTATTTTTTTATTTTCGAACCCAAAATAGCTAGACGAAATTGCGGTCACATTGTATCGTTAAAACGTCGGATAGTTTTGCAGGTTTTCACCACTTTTATGTGACAAACTCGTTAGCGGTTGATAAGCGCGTTACAATTATTACTAATCAGTTTACTTACATTTATTTTAAACGTTACGTAATGTTTTTTCAGTAGAGGCTTTTTGGGGAAATGATCTTCGACATGTGCAACACTGACTTTCTACAAAACTGACTTTGACATTTTTGAACATTGACAATATTAACTAATGTTTTTACTTTCTTGATATTAATTTTGCGATTTAAATTTAGATTAAAATAAAATCACTTGGTTTTAATTAAATTGTTGCTTTAATTTTTATTATTGACGAAGAAATCTATTAAAACTTCGTTCTTTCTTCAATAGATGGCTTAGTATTACAATTAATTCTAATTATAATTTTTAATAAATTTAACAAATTAAGCATTATTAATAAAATAAAACTAAAAAGATAATTATATTTGAGTTTTGTTATTAAGATAATGACACAATCTTAAAATAATCAATACTTATAGATACTTATAAAACATTACGATAGATGGCGCAAAAAACAATTTAAAGATTTTTTTAAAATTTCTTTTAATTTTTTTTCGATATCCACTGTTATCTCTCCATAATATAGACGTGGTTTCCCAAAATTTACCAACAAATAAGAATTATCGGGAAAGTACATCAAAAACATTATACACCATGAAATCAACCCAACCCTATCCCAACCCAACCCAACCCAACTGAACGGAAGCATATCCAACCCAACTAACATAAAGATAAAATTAATACAAACTGAAATCTTCTAATTATATACTGTATATCTATAAACAAGGCTGAAATTAAGATTTTAATTATTTAAAAAGCAATATTTTAAATAATGAAACTAGATACATAATTTGAATAATTTAAGTTGGTATTAAAATTATTTTTTCACAGATTAAATGTCATTAATTTTGTCAATAAAAAAAAATTAATATAAAAACATTTATTTACTAAAATATCAGCATTCAGGTACAAATTTTGCTTTCAATTTTGATATACATATTAATAATAAGTTTAAAAATTAATTTATTATATTATAAAGCAGTATTTACATTTCCATTAGTATTTCTAATAAAATGGTTGGAATTTTGAGGATATGGCAAACCCTTTAAAATAAATTGAATTTCCTCTAACGTTTTTCCATTCGTTTCAGGTACATAAAATAATACAAAAGCCGCTGTTAAAATACACGAAGCGGCAAATAAATAAAATGGAACGTATATTCCAAATTGAATTAACTCTTGATAAATCAAAAGGGAAATTGTGGCGAAAATAACGTACATCGCATCAGAAATCGTCATACCCATAGCTTTTACCGAAGTTGGAAATAATTCTCCCGTCATTACAATCGGAACCAATCCCAAACCGCATTTAAAAGCGAACGCATATAAAAGTACTGCTAACACTGGAACCCAAGACATATATTCAATGTTCTCGTAGTTTTCGGATTTAAAGTAAAAATATGTTGCTAAAATTGTTAAAGAAATTCCTGTTAATAAACTTGAAAAAACTAATAATATTTTGCGACCGAATTTATCAACAACGCAAATTGCAACTAATGCCGAAATTAACATAACTAAAGAAAAAACGATTCCTGAATATTTTGAGGATAAAATTCCTTCTGCATCTTCTAAAATCGTATGTAAATTCATTAACATTACACTAATACTGCTAAAGTGTTGTACAGCATTTAAAACTGTCATAATTGTTAAAGCTTTTCGATTTCCTTTATCGATTAATAAATCAATAGGTCTTCCACGTTCTTTTTCCTGCCGCTCAACAGCAATTGACATTTCATCAAGTTCTTCAGAAACATTTTCTTTGCCACCTCTTAAAAATCTTAAAGCTTTTTTACTTTTTTCTGGTTGTTTTTTCACTAAATAGTAATAAGGCGATTCGGGCATAAAAGAGAACGTAATTATTTGTGTAACAACAAAAGCAACACCAACAAAAGATGATTGTTGAATCGTTAAAAATGGCCCAACACTGTACATAACCACAACTCCGATTAACATTGCAATAAAAATGAATCCGCATAAAAGCCCTCTGATGCTTTTTTCGGCGATTTCCGCTATGTACATTGGCCCGGCCACGAATTCCATATCGCCTGTCATTCCGCAAAGAAATCTTGCTGCAATTATTACTTCGATTCTTGTAGCGAAAGCTATCATAAACCAGGAAATTAAATTTCCAACGGCTGAAATTAAAATTGACGATTTCCGACCGAATTTATCGACGATAAAGATCGTTGCTGGTAATCCTGCTAATCCACCAATCATGTAAATCAATTCAACCAAATTTTCGTTTGATTCTGAGATTAAACCAACCGGACTTTCTGGACTTCTTAAAATTGGCGCTATCGGCGATGACCAAGCGTAATGCATTCCATCAGCGATTGCTCCGGATGTTGCTGAAATAAATTTAATTTTTGTATAATAAAACGGATTAATACGGGGAAGAACGGGGATAAACATGCCAATTTTAATTTGATTAAAATTTGAAAATTAAAAAAGTTTATTAATAAAATGCTAAACTAAACAGTGTAGACCGCCATCTTGTGGAGATATCGCGAAATTTTATTAAAAGAAATCATTTTAATTTAATTGTAATAAATGATGTTTTTAGAAAAAATTGTTTTAATAAAAGTTTTGGATAACTTAATTTTAAACAAAATTAGTTTGAAAACTTTTTGAATCCAACAAAAAATTGGAAAAAAAACCCAAAAAAACAACAAAAAGAACGCCGGTTGCCCCCAATTTGGCCCCAAAAGGAAACCGGAAAATCAAAACCAAGGCCGTCCGGTGAAAAAAATAACCCAAATTTCCTTTCATTTTTTTCTCGTGGTATTCTGAAGAGTCGAAAGCCCTTTTTGCTGCTATTTTTGCAACTCCAAATACAACAAAACGGCATTATTACACGTGCACTGTTTGTAAATAAGTGGTGACATGCACTGACAAGCTGTCAAACCGCCATAATTCAAAATGAGTTATTTCGAAATATTTTAAATTATTTGTAATAAATGACGTTATTCGGGAAAATTGTTTTAATAAAAGTTTTAGATAATTTAATTTTAAACAAATTTCGTTTGTAAATTTTTTTAGATAACCTCAAAAAACGATTTTTTATACTAAATTTTATACCCGTATGGAGCACCATCTAGTGGAGATATCGTAAAACTTTATTAAAAGAAATCATTTTAAATAACAATATTAATAAATCCGTTTGAGGTTTTATTGTAATACAAAATAAAAAAAATCCTTGACTATTTGATTTCCTTGAAGCGAGAAAAAAACGTTTCTAAATTTAAATTTTGAATGGGACATAAACAGTCGTATATAAATTAAATAAATCTCTCTGCGTTCGTATCTATTATTACTTAATCCCTTCATAGTCTGTTATTGTCCACGATTCTTTTTTTCTCGAAATGATAAACGACACCTCTCTAAAATACCAAACTAAAAAAAAACCGTTTATTATTATTATTACTGTTTTAAAATCGTTCGTGTTCGGATAAAACCAAGATAAAAAGAAAAAAAAGAACGGAAGAGTAAAATCATTCAACCTTGATCGTCATGAATCATTTCAATTCAACCGTTTCAAAATGAAAGGTTCAAAGTTTTAATTAAAATTTTTACTTTTCCAACTTTAAGTTGAGTAAGAAAAAACTTACCGGCAATAACTGTAGTAACTTGAGCTAATTTAGCTCGAAAATTTTCTGATTTTACGCTCAACATAATTATCTTGTTCTTTTAAAACGATTCCTTAAATTCCTTTTTACACTAAGTGTAATAATACGTTGATGCACATCTCTAAACTGGAAAGACTGGATTTTCGATCTGAACTGAATCTTTACCAAAAATCGTAAAACTTATCTGTATTGAGATAACGACGCATGTACTGAAAGAAGAACGATAGCTTTATTTGAATGTTAATATTGTGAAATGCAACACTCGAAATTATTCTCAATACGAATACAATGATAAGCAAATAGTTAGTGTTTAATTTATACTGTTTTGAGTGCAAATTTATTAAGGAAAATTACTGAATTCGTTTTTATTAGTTTTAATTCGTTTATTGCTAAGATTTACTTATTAAGAAAATGATTTGTATACATTTTTATTAATGATAACTGATTTTAATAAATGTCTTTATTATTTATCTGTTAAGGTCACCATTTTCATTATTCCTTTTAATTTTCATTTATAATTCCCGCAGAAAACGAGATAGATCATAAAATTAATTTCCAATTTGTTTACTTACCGTTTTATTTAAACCGAATTTATCTCAAAATTAAGTTACTTAATCATTTTCCAGGTTCACCTCTTAGTTACGTTTTCAGAACACAACTAGAACTTATCACATGTATATTTTAAGAGTTTTATTTAAGTGTGTACACGAACTCAATTGAAAGTTATTAATAAATAGATCTTGGCAATGTTCCGTTTAATTGTTATCAATTAAGTTTTTCTTAATTTTTTTGTATTCGTAGTACAACAGAAAGTTTTACTTAATTGTTTTTGCAAGATTCATCTTTATTTAATTTTTAAATTAATCTTATTAGTTTATTGTTTTTTCACGGTTATAAATGTAGAATATTACGTAAAGCTTAATCAGAACGTTTGTGGCAAGGATCCTATTCAACTACTTATTGTTAGTATTCATCGAAATAACTTTTAAAAGAAATTAAAGCTTTATACAAAAACTTTAAGGTAAGATAAAACCATCTATGCGAAGTTAGACCCTAATTAGATTTGATTTTAGATGAATAATATTTTAATCATAACAAGAAAACCGATTTCGATGAACAATATCTCATTTAATCGCTTGGTTTTAATTAAATTGTTGCTTTAATTTTTATTATTGAGCGATAATGAAGAAATCTATTAAAACTTCGTTCTTTCTTCAATAGGTGGCTTATACACAGCTTAATATTACACTTGTGTATAGATATACAATTGCTTCCAATCATGATTTTTAATAAATTTAACAAACTAAGTATTATTAATAAAATAGAGTTGAGTTTTATTATTAAGATAATGACACAATCTTAAAATAATCAATACTTATAAAATATTACGACAGATGGCGCAAAAAAAAATTTAAAGATTCTTTTTTTAATTTATCTTAATTTTTAATCACCAAGCCAAACGATCAGCTTCTTTGGACCATTTGTAAACTCCACCACGTTTTTTAAACATGGCTTCATCAAATCCAGAAAATTTCAACGCATTTTTTACTCCAATATCTAAAATGGATTTCGAAGGAATTTTTGCACCTTCTCTACAATCTAGAAATCTCATCTGAAACGTTTAATACATACTGTATAAATTGTTTTAATGAAATAAGTTACTTACATATTCATCAAGGATTAAATAACTGTTTTGCATACTGTTATTAGACTCGGGTACCAAACATTTGATATTGTTATGTCGCTTTAAAAATTGATCGAAAAGATCATCTGATATGTAAAATTTTTCGCCATTACGTAAAGCTTTCTCACCTACATTTTCTCCATCTAACAATAAACATTGAAAAACTTTCCATCTAAAACATAAAAGATGATTTAAAAAAATAAAACCAAACTTTGTACGAACCTAATTGGGTTTAATTCTTGAATTTCCTCTCTCATATCTTCAAAATGATTAAATGTATTCACAACGGTGTTTATTTTAAATAACACATTATATTCTAAACACCAATCTCTTATTTTTCTCAATTGGTGGATATGATTTCGTTCCTCTCGAAGTTTTACCGACGAAAATGCTCGTCCTATTTCTTTGTTTGTGTCTTCATGGAAAGAATCACAAGAGACCGCAATTATATCTAAATAAGTTCCATACTTTTTAAACCAAGACTCAGTTACCATACTTCCGTTTGTAACAACAGTTACTGAATCAAGATTTAGAGCTTTCTTGCAATATTTTACCATTTCACCAACGTGAATCCCTTTTTTTGCTAAAAACGGTTCTCCACCACTAAAATTTATCTTCTTCATACCTAAAAATTATAAAAATAAATTAGAATTATATATTTATGTTATGTACTGAAGGGTAATGTAGAAATCTGTTAAATGTGTTAACTTAATTGTTGGACCGATAGATGACGTAATATGGTTCAATTTATTAACAATAAATTTATTATAAAAAAAATATTTTTATTGATAAATTTATGTCATTATTAATTGAATTAGTACAAAAGAAACAATGGTTATTAATCAACAAAGATCAATTAAACATTATTTATCTCTTTCTATATGACTCACCAGCTTTTTTTAACATATCCAAACCCGTTTTTGCATCTTCCAAGTTTAACATAAAAGATGTTTTAGCGGTATGGAAACAAAATCCGCATTCGTAATTACACAACCTTGTAAAATGATAATTAACACTTATAGGAATGATTTCGCCCTCGTCAACATTTTTGAAACTATCAAGAATTTCATCTTCGTTTTTGAAACGTTTCAGTAAAAAGTAAAATATCGCGTAAACTAATACCGAAGTAACTACAAATACTTCAAACATTTTTGTTTTTATTAAGAAGATCTTAGAATAAACGCCACTAAAAATAACGAAAGCGTTTCGATTGCGCAGTACTTTATATACGTTGATTATCGGGGAATCACCGACTATTATAACTAAAGAATATTAGTTATAATAAGATATCGTAACTGTTTACCATGCAAATGTGGGAATCACAAAATATAAAATTTGATATCGTCTGGGTACAATAATATTTTAGTTATACGATAACATTGTGAATGTTTAAAAAAAAATAATTAATCTAAAGTATCATTATAGATTAATTTACAACGAATTTATTTTAATAACCTTTTTAAATATTTGTAAAAAAAGAAAATAAAATTAATAGTATTAATTTTGAACAAAAAGCGAGATTAGATAGAATGATAATTAGATGATTCAATACATATTTTAAAACGTCATAATTAAATACTTTAATTGACGTTTGACGTTGACATTTCCTTGTTAAAACCCAAAACTACAAATAGGTTATATTAGATAAAAAAGCATAATCAGTAAAAATAAATTTATCAATTGAAACATATATAAATGGCAACGGTGAATCAAAATATATTAAAAAAATTCCGTAAGGCGACCATACGACAGCAAGGCGATGGAGATGAAGCGAAAGTAATACAAAGATAGGTTATGTTATGCTTATAAAATAAATTTAATTTTAATTTATAGGTGGAAGTGCGTGAAGATGAAGAGCAATCAATTAAATTACAAGAAATAATCGATCTTTTAGTTGCTGCGGGGTATTTTCGGGCTAGAATTAAAGCACTATCAGCTTTTGATAAAGTAGTTGGGGGGATTACGTGGTGTATCGATTCGTGTAATGTTGATATAGACGTTGATTTATTATTTCAAGAGAATTCAACGATTGGACAAAAAATGTAAAAAATCCATCACAAAATTTAGATTGATTAAAATGAATCTTTTTCTTAGATCGTTAACTGAGAAAATTGTAGCCGTCTTACAAAAAATGAAATGTAGCCATAAAATTGAGCCACATCAAATCCAAGGTTTAGATTTTATTCATATATTTCCAGTTGTTCAAGTAAGTAAAATATAGAATGAGGAATCGAATTAAAAGTGAATTGAATCGTAGTGGTTGGTTAAAAAATCGATGGAATTTAGAAAAGATCATGCTGAATTTGTTAGATTGTACGCAGTAAACCAATTTAATAAAACATTTAATGTTGAGAAAAGCAAAAATAAAAAAGGTAATCAAGAAGTTTTAGAAAATTTGGATAAAGTTTATGAGGCTTACAAACCGAGAAGATTTTATAAACGAAAAACTTTACTTCCTGATGATGTAACTTCTCGAGTACAAATCACACTTTTAGAGTATGGAATGTATGGTTTTAGAAGTTATGGGAGCAGAAAATCTAACGAAAATGATGACCAAAATCATGAGGTAACATTAATCTAACCTCAAAACTTTTTATTTTAGTTTATTTAGTTATTTTTGGTTGTTATTTTTTGTTGTTTGTGTATGTTATAGCTTCAAATTCAACATTTATTAAGCAACATGGCTATTAGTAATGAGGTGGGTTTTTATTTTTGTTGCTTATTAATTTTTTTTTTTGATTTTTAATTTTATAGAAATTAAATAAATTATTTCTTAAATTTGTATTAATAATTTAGATTCCGTCAGATTTTAATTTATTAAACGATCAAGAACGAAAAGAATTATTTAAACATTACACAGAACTTCAATTTGAAATAGGAATTGGAACTGAATCGAAAGAAAAACAATTAATAGAAGAACAAATTAATCGATTATCAACCGATAATGATTCGTTAATAAATGAAGAGAAATTAATCGAATCGGAATTAAATGAAATCAAATTGAAACAATCGGAAGCGGTTAAAAAATTAAATGAATTAGAATGTGCCGTAGAAGAATTAAATGCTGGCAATGCGAAGGAAATTGAAGAATTAGTTAGGGTAAATGATAATTTACGACAAAAGGAGTTACAATTTAAGGAGGAATGTAAAAAAGAATTGGTACAATTACAAAATAAAATAGAAGAAATGAAAAGTTCAAATTTAACGACTGAAAATGAAAGTTCCTTGGCGGAAGAGCTACAACAAGAGATGGAGAAGATGAAAAATCTTCGATTACATTTAGCGAAAAAAAATCGCGTTATATCTGTTTTACAAAGACAAATGGATGAAAGCCCGAGTCGGCCAGAACTTGCTCAATACCAAAGAAGATATTTTGAATTATATAACCAAATTGCCGCGAAACACAAAGAAACGAAACAGTATTTTACCCTTTTTAATACATTAGAAGATACTAAACAATATATGAAAAAGGAATTATCCTTGTTAAATTCAATATCAGATAGCTATCCAGAGTAATTATTAATACAAAACCTTTCTTTTTAATTTTATTGATATTCTTAATTTTTGTTTTTATAGGGCAATGATGTCGAATGTTGGTCGTGAAGAATTTTTAAGACAATTAGATAAAATCGTTGAAGGTGTAAAACAATCAAAATGCCGTATTGAGTTAAATTTGGTCGAAGAAAAACAGAAAAGAGATCAATTAGGCGCTAAATTACAAGGATTAGTCGAGTTACAACGAAAATATGTAGCAGCAGTTCGACAACTTAGCATAGAATGTAAAAAATTCGAAGTTTTAAATCGTTCCTAGAAATAAATAATTTTATTTTACCTATATGTTATTATGTGATATTTTAATCTTATACAGGGTGTCTCAGCGAGACCGGACATTAGACGTTTCTGGGGGTTTTGGCCAAAATAAAAATTCGACTAAAATATTTTCAAATTTCTAGCATTTCCGGTTATACCGGAAGTCGCCACCTACTTTTTTTTAAAAGTAACACCCTGTATATTGTTACATATTTGGATTTGTCTATTTTCAAGGTTTATGAATTACTTTACTTTTTGCAATTTGATTCGGCCGTTCTCAAGTTATCCGATTTTCTTCTAAAAAAATCTGCTCCAGCAGACATTCAAAAAATCAGAGAACACTCAATTTTTGGGATATCAATTTAGGATTCAGAACATGCTTAAACAACATGATGGAGTATGTTTTGGTGCCAAGAATCTAAATCGTTTGGTCACTTAACTATGCCACGTTAACTTCAAAATTTGCAAGTACCATAACTTAATTTTTTTAAATGGCACCCCCTATATTTTATTACTTAGTCGTCTTCGGCGTCTCATTTTACATCTTTTATATCCCATATGTCATATACCTAACATTAATAGTTTGGGAGATAATTAAGGTTTTTTTGAAAATGCACAATTATATCAATATTTAATATAGTGTGCCATGGAAAGCAAGCCTTCTCAATAAGTTCTTGTCAAAGTCTTACTTGTTTACGTCACTTGATGCATGTGAGCTAATAATTATCTGTTAGGTGCCTTAATATTAGTAATAAAAAGAGTTAAAATCGATAACAATAACGAAAATTATATTTAAGCAAATCAAGAAATTCTTATTTTATTTTTCGTGTTTCGTTTAAAAAAATAAAGTAGGTGGGGACTTCCGGTATAATCTGAAAATATTTTAGTCGCAGAGGAAAATTTTAAAACCAAAATAACTCGAAAACGAAAAACGCTAAGTGCCAATAGCTTTTATCAAAGTCAACTTATTTTTTTACGTATTAATCAGTGTAATAAAAACTATAGTACTCCATTTAAAATAACGAAGTTATGCTCTACTTCCGGTAGACAGAAAGTGGCGGCCATCTAGAAAATATTTTAGATCGAAAGTGCTGAATGAACAACTCATGTTACCAAAATTTCAAATCTCTACGAATACTGGAACCTGAAAAAGTTCTAACGAACAAGTTACGTGAGATACCCTGTATAAAAAGAAAAAAATGATTTGCTTAATCAATTTAATCATAATTGAAAATATACATACATTGCAATAATGTAAGGGAATTAATAATAATAAACTGACCAGCTTTGTATACGGTTTTTTAGTTTATGAAAAAAATACTCAATATAATGTATTCATATACTATTTAGGAATATTCATTGAAAATATTTTTTGTAGATAATATTTCAATTAAAATTAAACTTACTAAAATTGAGGTTATATCTTTTCATTTTTGAATTATTTTCTGTTTTTTTTTCGTGCAATATGAATAAAATATAAATTATCTTAAGTTGTTTTACTTCGTTAATTTATTTTAGTCAAGATATTGAATATTTTTACTCAAAACTTGTTCCCATCAATATTTTTAATCGGCTTCTTTGTTCCATTCACTGCTATCTCTCCATAATGTAGAAGTGGTTTTCAAAAATGTAGCTACAATCAAGAATTATCGGAAAGTACATCAAAAACTTTTATGTACACACCATGATATCAACCGAACCCAACTGAAGGGAACCATACCCAACCCAACTAACATAAAGATAAAATTAAAATAAACTGAAATCTTTGTTTATAGATGTACAGTATATATATATATAAACAAGACTGAAATTAAAATTTTAATTATTTAAAATGAAATATTTTAAATAATGAAACTAGATTTATAATTTGAATAATATAAGTTGGTAGTAAAATTATTTTTTGACAGATCAAATGTCATTAATTTTGTCAATATAGAAAGTACAAAAATAAAATTAATATAAAAACATTTATTTATTAAAATATCAGCATTCAGGCCTATTGTTGAATCGCCAATTGCCAAAAATGCCAAAATCATTAAATATTTTTTGAAAATTGTTAGGTGGAAATTATGTATTTACTATGAAGAATTTTATTTTATTAGTTTACCCTTCTGTTAGCTAATTGTTATCCGATAGTTATCCGAGCTTCAATTCATAAAAAAAAACAATTTTATCGATTTTCAAAATCCACAAAAAATATATTTATTTCAATATAGTTAACTTAACATAGGCTACCAAACCATCATGCACTATTTCATACTCGGAGTGCCATCTGTAATCGATATTTTAACTTCTAAGAAATTTTTGTTAATGAAGCCCAATCTTAAATAACAATATTAATAAGTCCGTTCTAACGAGGTCCGTTATATCGAGGTTTAACTGTATTTATAACATAAAAAAAAATCCTTGACTATTTGATTTCCTTGAAGCGAAAAAAAAACGTTTCTAAATTTAAATTTTGAATGGGACATAAACAGTCGTATATAAATTAAATAAATCTCTCTGCGTTCGTATCTATTATTAGTTAATCTTTTCATAGTCTGTTATTGTCCACGATTCTTTTTTTTTCGAAATGATAAACGATGCCTCTCTAAATTACCAAACTAAAAAAAACCGTTTATTATTATTATTGTTTTAAAATCGTTCGTGTTCGGATAAAAACAAGATAAAAAGAAAAAAAAAAAAGAACCGAAGAGTAAAATCATTCAACCTTGATCGTTATGAATCATTTTCAATTCAACCGTTTCAAAATGAAACGTTCAAAGTTTTAATTAAAATTTTTACTTTTCCAACTTTAAGTTGAGTAATAAAAAAACTTACCGGCAATAACTGTAGTTACTTGAGCTAATTTAGCTCGAAAATTTTCTGATTTTACGCTCAACATAATTATCTTTTTCACTTTTACACAAAATGTAATAATATATTGATGCACATCATCAAACTGGAAAGTCTGGATTTTCGATTCCAACTGAATCTTTACCTAAAATTGGAAAACTTTTCAGTATTGGGATAACGGCGCATGTACTGAAAGAAGAATGATAGCTTTATTTGAATGTTAATATTGTGAAATGCAACACTTGAAATTATTCTTAATACGAATAAAATGATAAGTAAATAGTTAGTGTTTAAATTATATTGTTTTCGGTGCAAATTTATTAAGGAAAATTACTGAATTCGTTTTTATTAGTTTTAATTCGTTTGTTGCTAAGATTTACTTGTTAAGAAAATTATTTGTATACATTTTTAATAATGATAACTGATTTTAATAAATGTCTTTATTATTTATCTGTTAAGGTCACCACTTTCATTATTCCTTCAAGGCTTTAAATTTTCACTTATAATTCCCGCAGACAACGAGATAGATCATAAAATTAATTTCCTATTATATTAGATTATTTACTTACCGTGTTACTTAAAGCGAATTTATCTCAAAATTGAGATACTTAGTCATTTCTCAGGTTCACCATTTTCAGAACACAACTACTACTATATAGTAGAACTTATCACATGTATATGAAATAAATAAATAAATTCATCTTTATTTAATTTTTTAATTAATCTAATTAGTTTATTGTTTTTTTTCAGGGTTATAAATGTAGAGTATTACCTAAAGCTTAATCAGAACGGTTGTGGCAAGGATCCTATTCAACTACTTATTGTTAGTGTTCATCGAAATAACTTTTAAAAGAAATTAAAGCTTAATACAAAAACTTTAAGGTAAGATAAAACCATCCATGCGAAGTTAGCCCCTAATTAGATTGGATTTTACATGGATAATATTTTAATCACAACAAGAAAACCGCTCAACCGATTTCGATGAACAATATCTCATTCGATTCGCCATAGTTTCTTATATTGAATTTCTTGGTCTCAATTCTTTCCCGTTAATATTGTACAGCCATTAGAATGACACCGTGTTCAGGCTAGATTTTCAGGCGCCCAAACATGTCATTCTGAGGGCTGTACAAGGTTATATACAAAAAATTGAGATTGGGAATTTTGTCATTTCGTTAGAAGAAACTATGACGAATCGAATGAGGTATAAATCTTGATAATCTAGTACATCGTTTGTGTGTTATGACCACTTAAAAAATGTCGTTTGTGTAATGTTTTGGCGGAATTCCAAAGAAATTTCGAATAGGAAATTTCCACTTTCATATAAGGTTAAGGATTAAGTTTTCGAATGAGATATTGTTCATCGAAATCGGTTGAGAGGTTCTCTTGTTACAATCAAAATATTATCCTATCTAATTGTAGGCTAACTTCACATAGGTTACAAAACCTTAAATAAACCTTAAATCTTTGCTTGCTATAAAGATATCGTCTTTATATCGTATTCCTCGCCTATATCCGAAATATAAATACTTTTATTGATTTAACATTTAATATTCGATATTTTCATTCCTCATTTTGGCAACATTACAACATCTTATTTTTTTATAAAAGAGAAATCAATTGCTTTGTTTTATGTATTTTTAGAATTAAACGTTAAGAAATAATTAAAATGAACTGAGTTCTAAATTTTAATTATTTAAAAGTAAATGTGTTTAATAACAAATATGGGGGATTTATAAGTTAATTATTTTAAGTTGGTATTAAAATTATTTTTTGACATATTAAAAGGTTATGTCCTTCAAATGTAAATCTTTTTCATTTAAATTTTTATTTAAATTAAAATAATCATAACTGTGTGAACACTTATGAGAAGTATTTTTAATATTTTATTTATTTTTTCAGTGTCTTTGAACTTAACTTTTGCGAGTTACTGTAATCCTTTTCACACAATTTACGACATGTCAAAATGACGTTAGAATGTTTGGTTAAGTTTTGCTTTTTTTAATCGATCACGAGATTAAAAAAGTTTTAACAGACGGTACTCTGGTAGAAATAAACGCAATGTAGGCAGATATTGGATAGAATGAGGGATTAATCCTGATGTAAGTAAATATATGATCTTTTAAAAGGGTTCAAATATATTTTCTGAAAGTGTTCCAAACCATTTTTCTATATAATAGGCAAGTGTAGCTAGAAATACCGAATACAATACATCATGACTATCAGTTGAAAGTTGAATTGAACTTTAAAAGCCGTTGTGTTGATATGTTTCTATCGAATTATTAAACTTTATGATGTAAATGATGATGTTGGTGAAAGTGGTATTCAAGGAGTTTTTTGATAATACGTAATCAGTTAAATAAAACAGTGAAGTCATATATTAATTTATTTTTATAAAAATCAACACAGCACTATTTTTTCAATCTTAAATTAATTTATACAATAAAAAAAATAAAACTAAAAATTAAATAAAAATTATAATTTCGTACAAAGATCATTTGGCGTGATTTCTTCTTGAGGATTCTTTTTCATTTCACTTAAAGGAATACCTTTAAGCAAATACTGGATCTCCTCTAAAGTTTTTCCTTTCGTTTCAGGGATATAAAATATTGCGAAAATCGCGGTTAAAATACAACAACAAGAAAACAAATAAAACGGGCAAAAAATGCCGAAATTTTTAACTAATTCTTGATAAATAAATATCGATAGGGCCCCAAATAAAACGTACATCGCGTCCGCATTGGCCATGCCCATGGCTTTAACTTTTGCGGGGAATAATTCCCCGGTCATTACGATTGGTACCATTCCTAGTCCGCTTTTAAAAGCTACAGCGTAAAGTAAAACGGAAAATAAAGGAACCCAACCAATATTTGAAACATCACCTCCTTGGTGTTTCACTAAAAGATATGTTGCTAAAATTGCTAATGAAATAGCGGTTAAAAAGCTCGAAAAAACTAATAAAATTTTACGACCAAATTTATCAACGATTGTAATTGAAACTGATGCCGAAAGCAACATAACTAATGAGAAAACAATTCCCGACCAATCCGGCGATACAATTCCTTTTGCATCTTCTAAAATTGTATGGAGATTCATCAAAATAACACTAATACTACTAAAATGTTGTGAAGCGTTTAAAACTGTCATAATAATAACTCCTTTTCGATTTCCCTTATCTAATAATAAATCAATCGGTCGTCCTTTTTCTTGTATTTGTCGATCGATTGCTGTTTTTAATTCTAAAAGTTCCGCATCAACGTCTTCCGTGCTTCTTAAAAAAACTAAAGCTTTTCTACACTTTTCATCTTTTCCTTTCATTAATAAATAATAAGGCGACTCGGGCATAAAACTAAACGTAAATAATTGTACGATTACGAAAGCTGCACCAACACAAGACGATGTCACTAACGACACAAATGGCGCAACCGAATAAATAATAACAATTCCGAGTAAAAGTGCTAAATAAATAAATCCTGATAATAATCCTCGAATTGATTTATCAGCAACTTCCGCTATATACATTGGTCCAGCAACAAAAGCCATATCACCAGCCATTCCTGAGATAAATCTGATAGCGTAAATTGTTTCGACATTTGTTGCACATGCAGTCATTATCCAAACTACTAAACTCATCATTGCTGTGATAAGAAGGGACATTTTTCTACCCAATTTATCAACAATGAAGATTGTTATTGGTAATCCAGCGATTCCACCTAACATGTAAAGTAATTCGATCCACATGGCTGACTCGTGGGTTACATCCGGTATTGGACTATCTGGTTTTGATAAAATTGGGAGAACGGGTGCTGGCCAACCATAGTTCATACCATCTGATAATGCTCCAAGTGTTGCTGTAAAGAGATGAAGACAAAAAATAATTAAAACACCAAGATATTTTAGTTCTAAGTTCTTATTATGATTTTTACATTAAGTTATTTAGAAAACGGAGCAATATACAACAAAAATAATATGTGAATTTCACATTTAATAATTCAGCACATTTAATTTCCAATTTTTTAATATAAGATTTAATTGGATTGTGCAATGAAAAACAGGTAGTGCCAATAAAAAGTTTAAAAATGAAAATATATAATTTTACGTAAATTATCAATAACACGAAATGTCAAATTTTAAGGTTAAACGTCGTTAAACGTCAAAACAATATGAGAGGTTATGTTTGACGTCAAAGCCATTATTTAAATAGAATTAATTCAATGGTTGGTTGTTTTAAGAAAGAATTAAAAATTGCGCATTGATACTTCAACTATAACACTCATGATAGTTAATTAAGACCGTCTTACTAAAGAAAGAACTATTCAAAGATCAAGGATAGACATAGATGAATGTTATTATCGATTAAGAATGAAGAACATATTTAAACCTTAGTAATTATATAAGATTAATCATTTGAGAAATGATGGACAATACAAGTTCATTCATTGTTTGAAAGAACGGTTATTGAAGAATTATGATGAACTTTTTTTTATGATTTACTTTTGGAAAATGAAATTCTGTTTTCAAAGACATCAAATTAAACCAAAGAAAATTTTACTTTATATAAAAATTTTTTTTTAATTAATAATTTCTTTTTAAGTTGTAGTAATGATTAGATAGATTACTTAAATTTCTACAAAAGTGCCGCCTTTATAAAGACACGTTCTTAAATGTCATTAAAAAAAAAAGAAACGTTCAAGGATATTTTATTAAAGTGTTCAAGAGACTCTAAGTCTGCCTCGTTTGTTGGATTTTATTAATTGGGTACGTCTTGGGTTCAATGGATCAACTCAAATAATGGAATTTCAGCGTCATACTCTGTCAATTTTATTTAATGTTAACTTTTTTTGATTAAAACCAATTATTTTCGGTTATATTAAACCCGGAAGTTCACAAATTGTATTATTTGGTGTTTCTTTAAAGAAATAAAAATGTATCATTTAGAAGTCCATTTTCATTAATAAGTTCTTGTTAAGCTATTTAATGTAGCTTTGGGGAAATCCCAACAAAACTGTAGAGAAAGTTAAGTGAGGTGGAATGCTCATATAGATTATAAAAAGAAATGTTAACTTTAAATAAATGTTACATGCTTAAAGGTATGTGGAGTAAATTTTCTAGTTCAAAACTTTACAACAATGCAAATAATTTCATAAATATATAGTCTTAATGAAACACTGGAATTTTCTTTATGACATCAGATCACCTTCACGATTTAGGTAGGTAACAAATTATTTAAAAAGAACCTTTCAAATAGCATCAATACACTCAATAACAAGTTTTACAACACGCTAACTTGTTCAAGTAATTACAATTTTCATAATAACATTGTTATTGTTTACTTAAAAAGTTTTAGTCATTTCTGTAACTTAATTAGGCACGATTTTAACATGTTTTGTAAGGATTTATTTATGTACCCATTATTATTAATTGTAAATGAGAGAGTATAGAAATTTTAGAGTCGAGTTGAATTTAATGAGATTTCTTGGTCGATTTGAAATTAATTATCCAATATATTGCCTATTAATCATAAAAAAAATTTTAAAGAGTTACTTTAAAGATTTAATCTGACGTTTATTGAAAGTGAGGTTAAGGAAAGAAAAGTTTCCTCCGAAATAGTTAGAATTAAGAACTGAAACTTTTTGATGTTATAAAAGAACGTTTGAGGTTAGTTTATACCAAATTTGAAGCTCTCATGGTGAACGATTTATTTTATATGAATTTTTAAATTCATCGATTTAATTTGACGTTTATTGAAAGTGAGGTTAAGGAAAGAAAAGTTTTCTTCGAAATAGTTGGATTTTAAGAATTGAAACTTTTTAATGTTATAAAAGAACGTTTGAGGTTAGTTTATACCAGAATTTAAGTTTCCATGATGAACGATTTATTTTATATGAACTTTTAAATTCATCGATTTAATTTGACGTTTATTGAAAGTGAGGTTAAGGAAAGAAAAGTTTCCTCCGAAATAGTTAAAATTTAAGAATTAAAACTTTTTGATGTTATAAAAGACCATTTGAGGTTAATTTATACCAAATACCTTTCCATGGTAAACAATTTATTTTAAAATCTTCGATTTAATTTGACGTTTATAGAATGGAAGGTTACAATAAAAAGAAGTTTTCCTCAAAACAACTAGGATTTAAGAGATGAAACTTTTTAAGGTTGTAAAAGACCGTTCTATGTTAGGTTATACCAAACTTGAAGACTCCATGGTGAACAACTTATTTGATATTAATTTTTAAAATTACCCATTCAATTTGATATTTATCGAAAGTTATAAAATCTTCGTTATCAATAATTTTTTTTTAGAAAATATTAAAGTAAATTAGCAATATATCATATATTATTATTTAAAGTATATTCTTTTACCTTTAATTTGGTACAAAAATAATCCTTTGATATTTTAGATACATTTTTTGAATTATTTTAAAAAGGTTAAACCAAAAAGAATGGTTTTAATTGGAATGATGAATATGATGATTAACTAACCTGTTAAAACAGTAATCACTTGGGGCATTTTCCCATTAAGGAACTTTCCTTTTAAGTCGTACATTTTCAAATAAAAAACGTTTCTTTCTTTTAAACCCACTAATAAAGAAGTCTTGTAAAAGTATCACAAGTTTAAGATCACTTTTATTTAAAAAGTTTTTAATTTAAAACTTTGTTAACAATTTACATAACTTTTTCTATCTTCACCACAACACCCGATCGATCATACTTTGCAATCGATAATAAACCGAAATGAACCGCGTGGTTCGTTTTTATTTTGTTGACCTGACTCTCGTCTCTTCTACCGTGTTCAGTCTCTCTTTTGCTTAGTTTTAGAGGACAAGTTTCGGAAGCATCAAGCTACAGTTACTGGTTGATTGTGTGGTGGTGGTGGTGATGAAGGAGAAGGAAGAGGAATGTAGAAAAGAAAAAAATGCACATCAAGGAAACAGGTTTAACTTCATATTAAAATGTAATAGCAGAGAAAAAAATTCTTAATGAACGTAAATTTTCTTTCTCTTTTTACGTTATTGTAAAATTGTAAAACAATAACGGTTTATGTTAATTCGTTCAATTTATTTAATTTATTTAAGATTTTCTTTTATATCGTTTTTTATACATTCAAGTATTTCCGGTTTTAACTGCATCGAACCGATTTACTTCTAAAGCTTTATTCTTTCATTATTGGATAAAATAAATTGTTTTTAAGTGGTGCTTATGAAACAATTTAAAACTGTGAATTAAAAAAAAATATTTTAATAAAAGTCATTTTAATCAATTTATTAATGGAAAATCCGGTATTTTCCCAACATCTTTACCGACTGAAACTTGATCGAAACTTGCTCTCACCAGTTCCAATTGACAGTGAACCGACTTCGCCCTCATCCACAAATAAAACTAAACAAGGATTTATTCAATTTTTATTGAATTCAATAAACTATTAATAGTTTCAGTTTCTAAATTTATAATTTTAGTATTTTTAATAGAATGATTACTAAATAAATAAATAATAAACCTCGATATAATTAACTGTTAATTAAAATTTGCACTTTAAACTGTTTTAAACACAAAAAAAGCTGGATGGACATTCTCATTTAAAGTGATATATTTTGAATCATTTTAATTTATTAGTAATAAATGACGCTTTTTGAAAAAAATGTTTTAATAAAAGTTTTGGATAATTTAATTTTAAACAAATTTCGTTTGAATTTTTTTTTGATTCGGTCAATAATTAGGAAGATAACCTCAAAAAACGATTTTTTATACCAGTGTGGAGCGCTATCTGGTGGAGATGTCGCAAAATTTTATTAAAAGAAATCATTTTAAATGACATTTTAAACAAATGTTATACGAAACATTTTTCGATTAAAACAAAAATATATGATTTGCCTTAATTTAAAATGAGTCATTTTGAATCATTTTAATTTAATTGTAATGAATGACGTTTTTCGAAAAAATGGTTTTAATAAAAGTTTTGGATAATTTAATTTTAAACAAATTTTGTTTGAAATTTTTTTTGATTCGATCAATAATTAGGAAGATAACCTCAAAAAACGAAAGAAATCATTTTAAACGATGTTTTAACCAAATTTTATACGAAATATTTTTCGATTAAAACAAAAATATGATATAATTTTCCTTTTACCCGAAACTTTCTAGTTCTAGGTCCAGTTTTAGTTCAATGAAAAATATACAACAATCTAACGCTGAATAACAATTAAAACTAGAAGATATTTATTACATGCGAGATTTCACTGTACAAGTTTTTTTTATTATCAATCGATTAAAAGGAAAGTTTCTCTTTTTTAAAATAGACATTTATATAATAATCTAATGACGTAAATCGTGTGACATATTTAACATTCAACCTTTCTACAATAAATGATTAACAACTCCTTGTAATTACTTAATAATGCAGTTCATAATTGGATTATTTTTTGATCGTGGTGAATGTATTTTAACAAGATAGAAATGAAACAAACGCAGATTGAATCATTGTCAATGTCTTAACCTTAAAGAAAGAAAAACCGGCAGCAAACATTCTACGGTCCAACGATCAAAAACGGTTAACAAACACTAACACACCTGTAGTAACAAGAAATCGTTCTTAGTCACGCTGTGAAAACCCTCCTCTTATCTTCCGTTTAAGCCTTTTAATTTAAAGCAGAAATCCCAAAGAACCACAACGCACGCACTAATTTATTTTGTTTTTTTTTGTTGCAATATCGTGGCATTAACGTCATAATATAATTATACAGAAGCAGATTAATACGGGTTTTAAAGCGATTTTTTTAAATTCTCGCTCACTAATACATTATTCATTTATAAATTTTCTAATTATGACGACAATTCGTTTTTATTTACATTTATTAGTATTTTAACGCTGAGAAAATAAAAAAATCGTTTGAAACGAGTACAAACACGAACGATTTATCTCAAAAAATAACTGAGATATAACTCAAAGTTTAAACCGGAAGTACTCATAACCTAATCTCAATTGGAGTAGTGTTAAATGATTCTTTTTGAATTTAGTTTGGGTTGGGTGGATTTTTTGCTATAAATTATTTTTTTTTATTAAGACGGAAATTGCGGAAGGTAATTTCGTAAACATTTCACTTTGGTTAAGGTCGTCATCGAGATTTCGTTATTATAGAAGTTCACTAATCCGAGAAGGTTAACAAATTCGCTACAACAATGAGTTGCTGTTTAACTTTTATGTGTCTAAAACGTTTCGGTTTCCGTATTCTAAGAAATAACACATCATTATCAAGGTTATAAAAAATGTTAAATAAAAAAATGTAAATTGCTAAGACATTTTTTATTGTATAATTTTTTTTTTCATAAACGCAACGCATATTTATGGTTATAATAATTTCAAATTGATTAGAACCTAATTAAAATCTTTTAGAAATTAAAAAAAAAACTACAATCTTCCACTCCCTCAATTATTATAATGCGGATTAATGAATAAATAACTAATGAAAACCACAAGGTTTAACCGGAGAGTAACAATTCTGTTAATTCTGTACCTTGACCACGAAATTTACATGTTAAGAAACAAATAATTCTTTGAAAACTAACATAATTAAAAAATCAACTTGAAATTTGAGTAAAATAAAAAATTATTTTGCTTTGAAGAAAAAAATAAATTAAATTAATTGATAACAAGATTCCAGGATGTAGATTGTTGCTAAATATAGAAAGGTAAAATCGTTTACGCCAACGGTTAAGTTCAATTACTAAGTAAACTCATTAACGACCGCCGTTAATTCAGTGAAAGACTCACGCAACTAAGAAACTAACCGATTTTTATATTTTGAGTTACATTCAATGTCAACTACCACGAAGAAAGAAAATCCTTTTATTTCTTTAAATAAACATAATAAAAGTGTGAAAAACTCGAGATATCTAGTTCTAATTATGTAAAATCTTCATTATTTATTACTTGAAAAGATTTTGTTTTTCTGCAAAAGTATTATTTCTGACAATCTTGAAGAGAAGTTTTAAAAATTCCTATAAAATCCAGTTCTTGGAATATGAGTATGAAAATTTCCCTAAATATTAATAAAAGGGTCCTCTTTCTAATGAACCAACACGTTTTGAAAAATAACTTTTAGTTTTTGAGAAAACAATATTTGATGTTTTGATAAAATTATCGATGTTGCAATTTTCATCGATAACTTTCAAAATTCACTATAACATTAATTTCTGTTATCATTAATTTTTGCTCCTTTCTCATAATATGGATTGTTTGATCTGATAATTACAATTACATTATTATCATTACCGCTACAATGGCATGAAATAAATTGATGCAAATTCCATTTATTGTTATAAACATCATGATATAAAACGTATAATTAAATAAATTAATCGATAGTAATCTTAAATGTTTTCATCCTCTCCGTATTATAATGTATTCCGTACATTCAATTCAATGTTGCTGTATTTATAGATTTAACTTTTTGTACTTAATCTAGCAAAAAACTGTAAATATTAATGTTTAATAAATTAAATATACTTTAAAAAGTTTAATAAAAAATAATTAATTTCTTTATGTACTTTATACTAAATATTTAATAACCTCAATAAATTTATTAAACTTTTTAAGTAAATGTGTACGTTGGGTTGCATACACTATTTTATGAATTATTAAAATAAATAAATATTTAATTATATCATAAAAAATAAATTCCATGCGATGTAAAGTATTAAAAATTTAAATTATTAGTATTATAAAGTAATAATTATTTATGTATTAATCCTATTAAGGCCCACTTTATCGCCTCTTAAGTGCTTTTACTTCTATGTTTAACATTAAAGGTAATTTCTAATTACTCCTTTTAATTAATTCAATTAGCTAATTATTTAGTTTATTATAATCCCCATAGTTTATACCATCATTGTAAGAGTAGTCTGTGTTAGATGGACTCATACTCTAACTGGTTTGAAGTGTTAATGTTAAATAATAAATCTGCGACTCAGGTTAAAAGTAAATTAAAGTGTAAACTAAGGTGACAAAGTACATAATCCAATTAACAAGTCTTGGGAATCTGGTAATATTATCGATCCTCTCCTCGTTCCTATATTGTATAAACAGAATGTGGGAATATTGTCCGTAAAAATTGAGTAGATTTAAGAAAGTCTTATAATAAGTTTAATATTAAGGATGACATTTGTGATGAAGTTGATGTAAAAAGATCTGATGTAACACAACCTGTAAATGAGACTGGTAAAGATTTTACTAATATAATTATATACTGTATTGACTGAACCTATTAAATATCCGCTTGTTACACGATTTGGTCGTTTAGTAAAGTGTCCGCAAAGATTAAATCTTTAAATTTAAGAGAAAGGATGTATTATATAGTTAGTCCTCTGTATTACCGACATCTGTGACATGAGCCACAAATGACGAATAATGACAAGCAATGACAAGCCAAATCAAGCCAAATGTGTTTTATTGTCCAATAAAAATAATACTTTTTAATACAGTTAAAAACATTTAGTTTTTCTTAATTTTATTTCCTACTAATGTAGGGCGCCGATTACATCTTCTAATAATCCATCTTGCACTTACACAAAACAACACAAAGGAAACTCCAATTAAAACCGTCATAACCGCCAAGATATCAACCATATAAAATTGATAATTGGGTAAATTAACCGATGGTAATCTTAAGTGTTTTGCCCCATTGTGTCGTATAACATACTCAATCCAATATGTTGCTTTATCGATGGGTTTAACTTGTTGATCATGGAAAATTTTTGATTTGATTTGAACGTTTTTTCGGTACCTATAAAAAATAATTAATATAAGTTAAGTTTTTTAGTGTTTAGTACAAGTTTTATTATAATTTGAAACGATATTTTAGATTTAAAAAATAATAACATAACCTCAATAAACTTTATCAGTATGTTTGTATATTGGGTTGCATACACGACTTTAAATTTAAAAATAATTTTTCTTACTTTTCATTATTTAAAACTTGATTAATTCCATTAAAAAAGCTTTCTTCATTTAATTTTTGAAAAGGAATATTAATTGCATATCCTTCAGAAGCCGCGTACGCAGCATTCATCATTTGATCTCCAAATACTGGGATTGCAACCATTGGAATACCATGATAAATACTTTCAATGGTGCTCAACAGCCCACCATGAGTGATAAAAAGTTTAATATTGCGATGAGCTAAAATATCGTTTTGGGGGAACCACTTTTTAATGATAACATTTTCAGGTTTCCCTGGAAGATTGTCATCTTCAAATTTCCAAAGGACGGTTTGTTTCATCTTTCCAAACACTTTTAATAATTTCTCACGAATTTCCGGATAAAGCTTGTTCCCTTTCAAATTTGAACCCATACTAAAATAAATAACACCATGTTTAGCATCATTTAAAATTTTTTCCAAATCTTGAGGTAGTTTTTTCGGTTCATCGACATGATAACCGCCAATTTCGATCATATTCGGTGAATTTAATTGCGGTTTTGTAAAGCTGATGTGAGAATTAGTTAGAATCAACGATGTGTTGTAAATTAAATCGAAAACGTCCGGTGAATTCGGGAAGAATTTTTTTATTAATTGATTTTGTTTCGGATAGAAATAAATGTGATCAAACAGTTTTTGGACAATGTTTAAAAGGAGTGTTTGAATTCTTTGACAAAACGTTTGTTGGGGATTCTCGATACCAAGATAGATATTTGGCATGAAGGATGGAATATCAGGTATTCCAACTAAATGATTTGTCCAAATTGATGAACCAATTGTTGATATTAAAACGGAGGGAGCGTTGTAATGATTTGCGATTGCGTGAAAAGAATCGAGGAAAAAGCTTTCTGATATTACTAGATCGAATTTTTCGTTTGATTTTAAGATGGTTTGTAGTGCTTCGTTTTTTAAGGTTTCTTCTGATAACATAAGTCCCATGTTTCCTAAACTTACAATTCCTATTAATGGTGAGATTCCAGCCATATCGAACAAATTTACTGATTTCATCATATCTGAAAATCATTTTTTTTTAATAAATTATACATTTTTATTAGATTAATGAGTTTTTACCTGTCGCTAATTCAAGAAATCCAGTTAGAACAACACTTTTTAAGTTTTCAACTTTATTTTTTTCAGGAAATGGACTCACATAAGTAACTTCGTGGCCTTTTTTCGCTAATTCTTTTGATATAGCATAACCAAGTGTGTAATGACTATGGGCAACACCAGGAAATATACACAAAATTTTTGAAGCGTTTGAAAATGAATTTAAAAAAATTAATAAAAAAATAACCGAAGATGTAATTCCTTTCATTTCTTTAGTATATTTTGTAGCAACGAAGCGATGATGAAGACTATTTGTTTTACGAAACGATGTCGATAGCTAAGAACCGCGAGATAACGGTTTGGGATTTCGTCCAGTTTCGTGATCACGTTCAGAAACGAGGCAATAGACCTACAAGGTCAATTCCCAATTATTATTTTATTTAACCATCTTGCACAATTTTATTAACTGTGTAGAAGTAGAATCGTCCAGATTTATTACTAATCTTTTTTTTGTTTGTAACGATTAATGTTATCTTTATCGAAGGTTGAGTGTTGTTGTATAAAGCGATTAGAGGCAATTGAACCATTATCTAATAGAGTCAAAATTAACTGTGGTTTTAAGTTGAAAGCAAAATGAAAAATATATTGTTATTTCCGATTTTTATTGGGTCAATTTTTAATATTAACCCAATAGATTCAGCAAAAATTTTAGGAATATTCAACATGCCTTCGTACAGTCATTTTGTATTGGGGGAAACACTTTTTAAAGAATTAGCGAAGCAAGGACATGAAGTAACGATGATGAGCGCTTTCCCTCAAAAAACACCAATAAAGAATTATCGAGATATTTATTTAGAAGAAGCCAGCATTGCTTTTAAAGGTAATTAATTAATTTTAAGAAAAAAATGTTTAGATTAGAGGGATGGGCGTAGAACTTGATGAACAAACAACGCTGTACAGGGCTTAACAGGTCTATTTCTTATTGTTTTAGAATAAAGCTAAAAATAAACTTTTTTTAGTGTCGTCAAAGAAATTAAATTTACAGATTCCTGTAAATTATAACTAATAATTAAAAAAACATATTTTTGATATTTGAAACAAATACATTTGTTGAACTATTTAATTTACATTTGTTTTACACAAAAGTTGGAATAGATTATTTCACATTTTTTATTAATATTTAATATTATTATTGTTATGTAATGTCATGTAATGACTTAATAAATTATTGATAGATGGCGCTCATATATTTTCTTTAGAATTCAAACAAACATAGCAACATTTGTTTGTATTCAAAAATTTTCTGAAGTGTCAAATTAAAAATCCTGTTTTTTAAGATGGATTACGGTTTAACATGTTAGAATGTTACATATTAAAAAATAAAATAAATTTTATATAAATTTTTAGTTACAGTACCGTAATTTACAGGAAACTGTAAATTTACTTTCTTTGACGACAATAAAAAACAGGTTTAATTTAGCTTTATTCTAAAACAATAAGAAATAGACCTATCTAACCCCATATTTTTGTCATCAGAAAAAAATAACAAATTTAATGAATGAATAATCAGTGGTATCTCAAAATCTAAAACCGAAAACATTTTTTTGACTGCGACATCAAATTCTCTGTAAAAAAAGTGTCCATATGTCTTAGTTATAATAACTATTTAAATTTTGAAAATTGTTCTTATTAAAACGTTAAATTCGATGAATCAACATCAAAAATGATCAATTTTAATGTTAAAATGGTCTTAAACTTAACAAACTTAACATTTATCTGTCAAAAATGACAATGTGAATGTCACGTTTGACGTTTATACAATACTGACAAACTTCACGATTTATATCTTTATTACAAACTTGACATTTATCTGTCAAAAATGACAATGTGAACGTCAAGTTTGACGTTTACTCTTTAAAATCAATAATTAACACATTTATTTATTTATTTTATAGAACATATGAAATCCGGATTTGATTTATTAAATTTTGGAAAAATACCTTTTATAGTAAAATTATTTTTTATATCAAGAATGACATTTAATGTAATGGAACAGTCCTTTGAAAATAAAGACGTTCAAAACTTGATAAAATCCGACGAAAAATTCGATTTAATAATAATCGAAGCATTCCTAAACGAAGCATTTTACGGGTTTGCTCATAAATTTAAAGCACCCGTAATTTCTTTAGGAACGAGTGATTCTTCAATTTGGGTAAATCGATTAACAGCGAATCCATCGCCGAGTTCATTCGTCGCCTCACCAATGTTACCGTATTCACCAGAAATGAATTTATTTCAAAGATTAAACAATCTAATATCAGAAATAACAGGAGAATTAGTGTTTAATTTATTCTCAAAACCACAACAAAATGCACTTATGCATAAATACTTTCCAAACGCCCCACATTTAGACGATTTAGTTTATAATACATCTTTTGTGTTGCTTAATTCGCACCCGGCTCAAAGCGCTCCGGTTCCTTTGACACCAAACATGAAACAAATCGGGGGATTTCACATTAACCATGATAATAAATTACCTGATGATATTAAAAAGTTTTTAGATGATTCTAAAGAAGGTGTTGTTTATTTTGCTTTGGGGTCAAATTTAAAAAGCGCTAGTTTACCAAAAGAAAAATTAGAAGCGATTTTAAATGGGTTTAAAAAATGGAAAAAACCGGTTTTGTGGAAGTTTGAAGATGAATCACTCCCGGGAAAACCCGATAATGTCAAAATCTCCAAATGGTTACCACAACCAGCGGTTTTAGCTCATCCAAATGTTAAAGTTTTTATTAGCCATGGTGGAAAATTAAGTATTTTAGAGGCTTCTTATTTTGGCGTTCCAATCATTGGAATTCCTATTTTTGCCGAACAACCTTACAACGTCCAACAAATTAACTACGCCGGAAATGGATTCATCATGGAATTCGAAAGCATCACGGAAGATGTAATTTATAATAATTTGGTTGAAATTACTTCAAATCCAAAGTAAGTTTTAATTAATTTATTAAAATGTTTCATGCAACCCCTTTTTTATTGTCAGATATAAAAATGAAGCTAAACTTCGTTCTGAAGCTATGAGAAGTGGAAAAATGACTGCACTGGAAGAAGCCGTTTATTGGATAGAGTACGTTATAAAATTTAAAGGAGCCGCTCATTTAAGAAATCATGGAATAAATTTGATGTGGTACGAAAAATATATGTTGGATGTTGCCTGTTTTGTTGGATTAGTATTTCTTGGATTTGCTTGGTTATTAAAATGTTGCTGTAAGAAGTTTTGTAAAAAATCTTGTAATAAATCAAAAAAGAATCAGCCTAAAACAAAAACGCAATAAATTAAAAGTATTAATCGAAAAATTATTGTTTGCATGAAAATCTTTTAATTAAAAGTTAATATAAAACACTTTTTTGTTATTAACCTCCATTTCTCCAAATCCTTAATGTTGACACTTCCTTTTGTGTATCAGGTAAAGCCGAGTATTCTAAAACATCCTACACTTTTTCATTTAATCAAAAACGAGTTACCATCATGTTCAGGGCCCGTATTCAGTTCTAAAAAGATATGATTTGATAATTTTAAAAATAAATTTAATTGTTATAAATATAGGCAACCTAATAACCACGTGTGTCAAAAAAGTTGCAAAAAAGAATTATAGTAAGAAATTTTATTTTGAATTTCAAAATAAAAAATAATTTTAAAATCACTAAATACAGATTTTATTATAAATTCTCAAACGATTTTATTCGAATAACCTCTTTCTTATCCCCACCATTTTGACAAACATCTCCACACACTTCATTTTTTACACCTTTTAAAATCATTTGAATCTCTTCTAAGGTTTTCCCCCTAGTTTCTGGAATAAAAAAGATTGAGAACAACAAAGTTCCAAAAGAACACACCGCAAATAAATATAACGGACAATAAACCCCGACAATATTCACCAATCCTTGATAAATATAAACAGAAACAGCACCGAAAATCACATAAAGCGCGTCAACAATTGTCATTCCCAATGTTTTAACACTAGTTGGAAATAGTTCCCCACTCATCACAATAGGCACCATACCCATCCCACCTTTAAAAGCAATAGCAAAAAGCATAACTGCAACAACTGGAATCCATTTAACGTTTGTTATATCACCGTCATGTTCTTTATACGCAAAATAAGATGCTAAAATTAATAAAGAGATGCATGTGAAGGTGCTGGAATAAATCATTAAGATTTTACGTCCAATTTTATCTATTATTAAAATTGTGACTATAGCTGAAAGTAACATTACAACTGAAAATGTTATTGCTGCAGATTCAGGTGGAATGATTCCTTCTGCGTCTTTTAAAATTGTATGTAAATTCATTAACATAACAGTAATTGCAGCCATATGTTGAGAAGCATTCAAAATTGTCAAAATAACTAAAGCTTTGCGATTTCCTTCACTTTTAAATAAATCAATTAAACGACCTTTTTCCTTCTCTTGGCGTTCAACAGCTTCGCTTATTTCATTTAATTCCAACTCAATATTTTGTGTATTTCGAAAAAATATTAAAGATTTTTTCGATTTCTCTTTATCTTTCTTTAATAAAAGATAATACGGTGATTCAGGTAAAAAAATTAATGTCATTAATTGTATTAAAATAAATCCAGCACCAACGCTAGAAGAAGTGGTTAAATTAACAAAAGGAGCTATTGAATAAATTATTATAATTCCAATTAATCCAGCGACAAAAGAGCATCCTGTTAATAATCCTCGAATAGATTTTGAAGATATTTCTGCTATATACATTGTCCCAGCAACAGATCCAATATTACCGGCGATTCCACAAAGACATCTTGCTATATAAATCATTGTTAATGTTTTCGATAACCCAATCATTATCCAAGATGTTAAATTAAATAAAGCTGAGATTAAAATTGCAATTTTTCTTCCAAATCGATCACAAATGTAGATGGTTAAAGGAAGAGATAATAACCCACCGATCATGTAAAGCGTTTCAATTGTTGCTATTTGATAATCGGAAAGATTTATGCGTTTTTTTAGTATTGGGGTTATGGGTGATGTCCAACCATAATGCATTCCAACTGCTATCCCACCAAAACAAGCTGAAAATATAACATTAATAATAGTAATAATAATTTATACATTATTATATATTTATAATTTATTCTTTTTATTTTTTTTCAAGTATCTGTTGAGGTTATATCCAACTTCATATTATATATAACTTCATATAGGATCCCCAAGTGATCCTTGTCAACAGAAGATGGCGCTAATGGGAAATTTGAAATTGAAAGGTTTGGTTAATTTATGTAACGTACTTGTGGTGAATGTTAAAATCACTCCAAAAAAAATTTACTTTAGAAGTAAATATAATAAAAAAACTTTTAAAAACACACAACAAACAGAAAAGAACACAACAGCTGATTGAGAATGACAAGTGGTGTGATGTTTGGTCTTTTTAGATTCTAGTGTCCTTGGGATTTAAAAGTGAGATTAACTCAAAAATTAAATAATTTATTTAAAATATTTTAATATTATTAAAAAGAAATTTAGTACGTATTAATTCAATAATCTCATCGAATATTTTTAATAAATACTTGATTTTTAAAACGCCATCTATGAGATTAATTGTATACTAGCATTGACGGTTAGCCCCATGACATTTGAAATAGTCTTTATTATAATTTCTATTTTGGCGTAATTATTTATAATTATTAATAATAAGGGAGTTGTTTAAATGTTTATTCGTCTTTGCAGAGTGTGGAATACTCATTACAAGTATTAATGATTCGGAAGATAATTTTCAGGATTTTCTATGAGCATATCCAGAAGATTGTTGAATTATTAAAGTAAAGTATGTATTAATGCTTACCTACTACAGTACTAAAAAATTGTACACATTTTGGATAACTTCTTGAAGTAAATTGCGAAAACATTCTTTTTAGTTTTTGGGTTTCTTTGAGTTGTTATGTTTTAATACATCTTTTTTAATAATGTAAAGCAAAACGTTGGTTAGTCATATTAGATATGAACAATAACGTCGGTATGAATGAAATAAACTAAAAACATAGCACTAAAAAATTATAACAATTTTCTTGTTATTGAACGTGTTTAAATGCCAGAAATAATCTCAAAATAACTTAAACATAACAGTTTCATAAAAAAGAATGTAGGAAATAATAATTAGGATAACTTAAACATCAAGGTTTACCAGGAAAACCATTGCTGACATTTTTGTTACTTATAATTACCATGGTAATTTGATGTTTCATAATTCCCCTTATCATTAATCATTACATAATAATTTAGTTTTAGATGTAACTTTTTTTAATAACATTTTATTTTAGGTTATGTTTACTTATTTCTGTCCTTCAGGATGTGACGGATGTGATAGATTTGAAGTTAGGTGACAGGAACTGAGTGGGATTGAAGTCGGATTATCTGATTGGTCGAAATAAAATTTCAAGATGACCGGGATTTCAAAAGTGCCAAACTAAAAAAAAAAAATTGACGTAAGTAAAATTTATAATTTACAAAAAAAGATATTTTTTTTTAAATATTTTTTTATTATTGAAAGTTAAACACACTAAAATAATTCCATAATAAACAAAGAGAGAGAAAAACAAAATTATGGATATAGATAGTATTAGAAATTGGTGTGAGTTTGATTAATAAATGGCAATATAAACTTAATACAATACTTTTAAAATGAGAAGAAAACAATTTTTATAAAGATTCAAAACACTTGTATCCTATGGTTTTCCCTATCGCAGACCAAGATATTCCCGTTCGAAGACACGGCTATCCCTTCGAGTCCTTTAAATTCGCCCTCTCCAGAACCCCAATTTCCAAAACACCTCAAGAAAGTCCCATCGGGATTAAAAATTTGAATGCGATTATTTCCGGAATCTGCTACAATGATGTATCCTTGATCATCAACAGCAACTCCCCTTAAATAAAAAAATTAATTAATCATCTCAATTAAATGAAATATATTATGACAAAAATTAAAAAAAAATTTACCTTGGAAATTTAAATTGCCCATCGGCAGAACCTTCAGTACCAAAAGCATGATTGACTTTTCCGTTTATATCAAAAATTTGTATCCTATGATTGTTACAATCGGATACAATTACTTTATTTGTATTCGAAACGGCTATGTAATGAGGATGTTCTAATTGACCTTCTTTATTGCCCATTGAACCGAATTTTCCAACAAATGTTCCATCTGATTGGAAAACCTAAAATTAAAAAAAAAATTTATAAAATCTCGATATAATGGAACTCTAGAATTCAACTCAATCTGCTTTAAAGCAGTTAGAAGCAGAAAAAGTTAATTTACCTGTATTCTATGATTTTCTTTATCGCATACATAAATGAATCCTAAAGCATCGGTGGTGATACCCCATGGATAATTAAATCGTCCATCGGTTGTACCTTGACTACCAAAAGATCTTAGGAATCTCCCAGATGGATCAAAAACCTATCAAAAATAAATTTAATTTAACATAGATGTTTTATGATTAAATATTCTTATGATTTACTTGTATCCGATGATTATATCTATCAGCAATGATATATTGTCCAATTCGATTCACTGCAACTCCAGCCAAACAATCAAACTCTCCCTCTCCATTTCCATAAGAACCAAATTGTTTCAAGAAATTTCCGTTTCCATCGAAAACTTGCACGCGATGATTTGATGAATCGGCGACTACTATGCTATTATCTGGACCGACAGCTACACCTCTCGGCCAAGTGAATAATCCAGGCTCGCTCCCCCGACTACCAATGAGGAACAGCTGATGGCATTTTTGCAGGTATTGACTCCTAGGGGAGATACCTGCTGCTACCGCGATACCTACAATAAAAAACCATTTTTAGTCAAAAATTGATTTCTTAATTTAAATTAAAAATAAAATTGTATTAAATTTCTCATTGGAAATCATAACCAATTAAATTAATAATTTCCAGGACATAATTTAAAGCATTTTTTAGCACCAGAGGAATGACAATTAAGAACATATAAAAGTCTAAATTGCTCAGTAACGGTGCAAAAAAATGAAGTACTTAAAATTTTTCTTACCGGCTGCTGCCACCGTAGCTGGTGTATGGGTAGTGGGGGAGCCTTGCATGTTTTTTTGATCATCATCAGAACTTCCTAATTCAGTTGATGATCTCAAAGGCAACCCCAACGACAATCTTCTAGCCGCCGCCGAAGAACTCGAAGAGGGCGAAACAGCACCAGAAGCACTACTCTCCCGATCTTTCCCACCACTGCTTCGATTACCATACTTATTCTTCAAATATCTCGCCCAAGAACTCAAAGCGGCACCATCTTTTTCGGTGGTACTCGCCGCCGAGCCCCGCTCCGGCGAATTTTCCCTCGATTTCAACGCGTGCGAAGATCGACTCCTCGCTAAATCATTCCCAGAAGCTGTTGCCGAACTTGTTCCGTAACCCCTCGAAGCGAGATAAGCAGAAGGATTTGAGGAAGTCGGTGAGATGGGTTCGTCAATTTCATCATCGTCGGCGAAATTATGAGTTGATCGGCTTCGTGCTAAACGCTGCCGACGTTCTTTTAAAGCCATATAACGCGATCTTCCCGATGGATATTTGCTGTCGGAGTCTTCAGTTGGATAACGCGATGAGGGTGTGTCATCGTCTTCGGGGGATACAGCAGCGGAACTTTTACTTTTATTCAAAAATCGACTTGCGTAACTATATCTAGATGGTGATTCTTCTTCTGGCGGTTGAGATGATGCTGGTGGTCTTCTTCTATAATTCGGAGAAGTATCTTCTTTCGGTGAGGTATATCTAGGATAATTAGTTTCTTCTCGGCTTGATTTTCTCGAGTTATCCGTGCTGTCTCTAGCTTGAGCACTCCTCGCAAGTAATGGTCCTATATCGGTTTTTGCCATTTCTTTAGTTGCGTCTTTTTTAGTTGTGACTACTTCCTCTTCGCTTTCTTCCTCAGACTCAGTTTCTTCTTCGCTACTACTTTCGGTTTCTTCTTTAGCCGGAGTTGGTGGGGCCGCGGGTGTTCTGTTTGGCAAAAATCGACTTGTAAACGGTTGTTTTGTTGGGGTGTTTGATGGAGGCGTCGTTGGGGCTTTCGATAAATATTTTTGTTTTACTTCTTCCGTGGTGAAAGGCGCCCCGGTTGTTCTAATCGCTGATGATGACGTTGAAGATTCCGTGGAGCTTGATTCGGAGCTGGTCGAACGCGATGCTTTTTTGTGTTGTTGTACTTCGGATGGGCGTCGTCCTTGAGATGGGGTGGATTTCGATGATGATGTTTTTCTTTGTCGGGAGCTTGATTCTTCGTCGGTGTCTTCTGCGCTGGATACCGTAGCCTGGAGAAAAATTCTTCTTTAAAAAAATCTTCTCTTTCATATTCAAAAAACTTCTTAAATTTATTTTTTTTTTCTTGGAGGTGTTAATAGAAAGTTGTGGAGGTGTAAAAAATAGTGCTTTTTGAAAGTTGTTCATTTGGTAATAAGTGGTAGTAGTATTATTAAAATTATTATTAACTAACTAAAACTGGTGACTAGATTTCATTTCAATTTTTTTTAAATTTTTTTAATTTTTTTTTTGTTTCTATATAATTATAATCAGGTACTTTTTATTGTTCACTCACCTCTGGTGGTTGAACACTCTTTCGGCTTCTCTCATCAACAACAACAGGTGGGGTTCGAGTTTCCTCAGCCGTTGACGTAGTTGCTCCTTTATTTTGTTTTTTAATTTTAGCAATTTCGTCTTCCTCGCTAACTTGTCTCGCTGTTGGGGGAGGTTGCTTTTTTGGAACAACTTTCGGTTGTTGAGGAACCGGAGTTGGATTTTCCTTCTCCTTTTTCTTATTCATTTCGCTTTCCTGCAATTTTTGCATAACCCGTGGGGAATCAGCTAACCTAGTAATACCACTTAAAGGACCTCTAGCGACATCTTCCGTGTCCAAAACGCGCTCTCTTTCTTTATGTTCCGTAAAACGAACTCGCGAAGACGAAGTTTCCGTGTCTGAGTCATCACCGTGTCGATTAAACCTTGATCGATACCTTGATCGAGCTGGTCTCGATGATTCGGTGTCATAATCATCAACGCCGTAATCGGTGGTTGTTCCATATCGATTGTAACGCTCGGTTTGTTTTGGTCTGTCGCCAAATTTTCGGCCGCCTAATGGTGCATCATCAGTTTCGCCGTAACCTCTTTCTTCTTGTTGACGAAATTGCGAAGCAAGGCGATGATCGCTTTTTGAGCGCATTAATCCGGGTCCACCTCCGGGTGGTTGAAGATGACTTCCGGTGCCGAAACTTGAATGCGAAGTGTTTGGGATGTTTAAATCGCCAAATCCGGCAACGTGAAGAACCAATTGATTTGGATCGTGCGCTAAAATCAATCGGACTTTTCTCGAATAATCTGAAGCTTCGTACTCGAAGTTTCTGATGAATTCGACCGTTTTTAAAAATATTTCTTTTGCATCCATCAACTCGCAATCATCCCAATTAACGTTCTCGTTCATGTGTTTATCAGCTAAATCACAATTGCTTATGATGTTTCCAATTTCAAGTTCAAGGTTATCTTTAAGAGTGGTCATGCTGCGCAATTCCGTTCCTAAGTAGCGATCTAATTCGCCTCTTAAGTACTCGGTGCGATCTTTTAAAGCTTTCGCGAGTCTCCGATGGATTTCTTCGACTTCTTCGCTAACCGACAAACAATTCATTTGAATCGATTGAGTGTTTTTCTCAACCAACGCTAAGGTGTCTTGTAAGCGGTGGATTCCGCGACGAATTTGATTATTTATCCTAGTAATTTCTCTCCTGAGGATGTCCATGTGGGCTCCTTTGCATTCCTCGCAAATTTTTTTATCACAATGCGAGCAAAAGCTGCAATAAGCTTTTTCGGAGCACACATTACATCGTTCCATTATTTGTCCGCTCGTCGGATCTGGGAGTTCCCCGGTAATTTCGATGTGAAGTTCGAGGAAACGTTGCAACGTTACGTTCGTGGGGAATCCTTGAACTCCTTGGTACGGTATCCGATGTTCTGCACGACATTCTGGGCATTTTACCTTTAAAATTTTTGAAAAATTATTTTTATTTTTAAATTAAATTAAAGTAATCTAAAACCTCGATATAACGGACAAATCCGAAACAATTTTAATTCCATTCAAATTTGAAAATTAAAAAACAATTTATCGATAAAAGTTATTACTTTTCTAATTTTAGGCAAGCTTTATTAAAAAAAATTTTAATTTGATCAATAATTAGAAAGATAACCTCAAAAAATCGTTTTCATACTAATTTCATACCAGTGTGGAGCGCCATCTGGTGGAGATATCGTAAAATTTTATTAAAAGAAATCATTTTAAATGACGTTCTAAACAAATGTTATTCGAAACATTTCTCGATTTAAACAAAAATATGATATGATTTGCCTTAATTTAAAATGAATCATTTCGATCATTTTAATTTAATTGGAATAAATGACGTTTTTCGAAAAAATGGTTTTAGTAAAAGTTTTGGATAATTTAATTTTAAACAAATTTTATTTGAAAATTTTTTTGATTCGATCAACAATTAGGAAGATAACCTCAAAAAACGATTTTTTATAACCGGGTGGAGCGTCATCTGGTGGAGATGTCGCCAAATTTTATTAAAAGAAATCATTTTAAATGACATTTTAAACAAATTTCCTACGAAAAGCTTTTCGATTAAAACAAAAATATGATATGATTTGCCTTAATTTAAAATGAGTCATTTCGATCATTTTAATTTAATTGGAATAAATGACGTTTTTCGAAAAAATGGTTTTAGTAAAAGTTTTGGATAATTTAATTTTAAACAAATTTTATTTGAAAATTTTTTTGATTCGATCAACAATTAGGAAGATAACCTCAAAAAACGATTTTTTATAACCGGGTGGAGCGTCATCTGGTGGAGATGTCGCAAAATTTTATTAAAAGAAATCATTTTAAATGACATTTTAAACAAATTTCGTACGAAAAGCTTTTCGATTAAAACAAAAATATGATATGATTTGCCTTAATTTAAAATGACTCATTTCCAATCATTTTAATTTAATTTTAATAATGACATTTTTTGAAAAAATTGTTTTAATAAAAGTTTTAGATAATTTAATTTTAAACACATTTCGTTTGAATATTTTTTCGATTTTTTATACCAGTGTGGAGCGCCAACTAATGGAGATGTCGCAAAATTTTATTAAAAGAAATCATTTTAAATGGCATTTTAAACAAGTGTTATACGAAACATTTTTCGATTCAAACAAAAATATATGATTTCTTAATTTTAAATGAGTCGGATCATTTTAATTTTTTTGTAATAAAAGACTATGTTTTTAGCTGTAGGTCTAGTGTCTAGTTTAATGAAAGAAAGTTTCGGGTTTGACCCTGCGTCTTCAGACGCATGTACTAAACGAATAATATTAATAGTCACAGTATTACAAATATTTTGGCCATTATATCGAGGTTCTACTGTAATTTAGTTATTACCTGTCTTCTTACGTAGTCCACGAGTCCTTCCAAACAAGGTTCCATGCAAAAGCTGTGTTGGCATGGTAACAATTTTGGATTTCGGTAGCGATCCAAACAGATGGCGCAAGTTAATAGTTGTTCGAATTGTTCCATTTTGTTTTCTAGAACGATAAAAGATATTTTTCGTTAATTTCGATTGAATCTCGCGCGAAGATGTTTTTTAGATTGGTTTTCATTTTGGCCGAAATCCAACTTTAAGGTTTAAATTCTCAAACGTCTTGCGCGAAAATAATCCACGTTCCCATTGGATTTAGAAGCAATATCGCGGACGCCTTGGAACGTCACCGTTTTAAAATTAGATTGCACGGCTATAACGGAACGGACAGAAGCACAGAAGGAAGGTTTTTCAAAAATAATTTCGCAAAAATAGATTCGAATCCACCATAAAAAAATAACACACTTTCAGGATTTTAAATACAAAAAATTTTTTTGTTATTTTTAAGTTGGTATTATTAATTGAATGTATTTTAATCGAAGAATATAAAATCACATTGTGGGTTACTTTTAGTTATTTTTAGATTGACCGATCAAAATCAAGAATGAAACAAAAAAAAAAGAAACAATGAACGTCAGATTAAAATTAGAAAAAGACCACGCGATATAAATAAAGCTTTTTATTTATTATTTAAATCCACTTTCTTCTTTAAAACGAAGGTATTTTATAAACACCTCTTTCTAATTTCTAAACAATCCCAAAAATACTTTGTTAACATGCATAAAATAAAATTTTATTAAATTAAAAAAAAATTAACTCACATTTAACTAAAATTCCTGTCAAATTCTTAATAATTGAAAATTGTTCATACTTTAATCACAAAAAATCACAAATTTACCAAAACCCTTCTTCTTACTTCTTGATTCAAATTTAGACTGAAAGATTTCTGAAAGGTTTAAGTAGGTTCTCTTTATAAAGTTGGCGGCGCTGTCGATGTGGGTTGGTTAAGGCGAAAATGGCGACGTAATGACGTGTCGCGCACATCTTTTGTTTCTGTGACGTCTTTTGTTTCTTTAATACGGTATTTTTAGAAAGAATTATATTTTGTTTCATTGTTGTTACTATTCCGTTTATAAATTCAAAGAGGCTTTTGACTCTCTCCTTTAAAAATAATAGAAACCGCGTTATTCAATTTTATGCATTCAATTTAAAAGAAAATTCAGATTATTTTAATAGTAGGTGGCGCTTTGTCACCTTTAAAATCATATTTTGAGTTATCTTGGCTAATATGCAAAAGATGATAAATCTTTTTTGATGAGTTCAAAGTTATTTTTGATTTAGAAAGTGTTTTGTAGGTTTCTGTAATTTTAATTGTAAGTTTCTTACGATAGATGGCGCTGTATATTGTATTTTTGAGAAATTATTTTAATTAACTAGTAACTTTCTAGTTCTAGGTCTAGTGTTAGTTCTAGTTTTAGTTGTTATTTAGCGCTAAATTGTTGTATATTTTTATTGAAGTATTACTATATAGTAGAATTAGATAGTATTATATAGTAGAATTAGAATAATTTGGGTTTAGCCGTCTTTAGAGACATACGGCTAAATCCGAATCTTTCTAGTTCTAGGCCTAGTGTTAGTTCTACTTTTATTTTAGTAAAATAGACAACAATTTAGCGCTTAATAACAATTAAAACTAGAACCAACTCTAAACCTAGAAAGTTTCGGGTTTAGCCGTGCGTCTTCAAACGATAGTAGATAATAGGATATATATCCTAAATTTAATTTAATAGAATAGATAACAACTATTTTTTTTTAAATAAAAGCGATAAATAGCGTATTTGACAACAATTTTGTACTTAATAAAGTATAGGTTTCTGTAATTAAGACTTAAGTAGTAAAACGTTCGAAGGATAGATGGCGGTGATAACAAATCTGTTATATTTGACAAATTGAAACTAAAATAGTATTTATCACTTGCAAATTTTGAACTATTTTTTGTAATAATCTCTATTTAAAACAGCTTTGTAACAAATTTTAAATAATGATTTTTAAATAATAATGAAAATTGTAATTTCTGTAAAAAGTATTTGGTGATTCAATGAAATGATAGATGGCGCTAATTTTAAATAGTTTTATGATTAATGATAATTTTAATGATTTTAATATTAATACAATATTTTGATTAAAATGTATGTTAAACGAAATAAAGTAGTAAGTAAGTTTATAACGAAACGGAGAGATTAAAAAAATGTAATAAAAAACTAAAAGCACATCGAAAACGATTGAATCAAGAGTTCTCGGGTTCCCGGGTAAACTATCCTAAAAGGCAAAAAATAATATTGGACGTTGTGGAATACGATATCATCTCTCCTTTACTATACGATATCTCGACTGCAGCTTCCCTCAATTTTCTGCCGACCGAGCATTTCTAATATCTTATATATCGAAGATGAGAAGGCACAATAGAAAAACCATTACGTATTGTCATTCACGATCGGAGAATATACGTGTAAAGCATGATCTTTTTTTCGTTATTAAAAAATTCTTTTAAAATATACCGGGTGTTTTTGTAAGTTGTGGTCATAATATTAATCATAAATACTAGAATAAAAATGATAATAATGATTCGTGTACAAATTTTTGGTCTAAACCCATAAATGGCTATAGATTAAATATTTTCAATATGGTTTGTTTTAGAAATATAAAATTTGGTAAACAGTGCAATGTTATCATGAGAAATCGTTTAAGATCACCTATGAAAATATGCAAATAAGAGCAATTTAGAAGTAGTGTAATGATACCAAGACAAATTATAAAGGAGCATTGTCAAACTAAGAAAATATACTACCAGGGGTGTATTGCAAATTCTCAATAATATGAACCAGATCAGAAAACTCAAGAGGATCAGATTCTGTTTTGCTTGTTTTGTTTTCAGTTTTTGTTCATAACAAACTATCCATCTTTTCAGTATTTCAGATCCTTTCTTATTTACATTTTGATGACTGTGTTCTTAGTTTCTCTAATTCCTGCCACTCTATTTCTCGGGCTGTGAGTGCTGTTTTCTTCCTTCCTCCATGTTCTGTAGTCCTCCTTCGTTTCTTTGGTTCTACGCTGCTACACTCTTACAAAGTACAAAGTGACCTCTCATTCACGTACGTACATTTACATACTTTTAGTAATGTTTTTTAGCAACTTTTTACAATATCCTCTCGCCGCTGCGTTAGCATTGGCTAAACACTCACCCAACGTTAAAACCATACTGAAAATATTTAAGAAAATGGTTAAAAATTTCTTAACTTTCAAGTCTCATATTTTAGCCATTTATGAGTTTAGATAAACAATTTTTACACGAATCGTCATCATTTTGACTCTAGTATATGTGATTAAAATTATGTAACAATAATAATATCGATAAAAAATTATTTAACAAAGTTAATTATGGGTTGTGATCATAAAATGTTGTTTTTTTTTTAAGATGTCGCCTGGGGTTAAAGTACTTACCCGAAAATTTTCCACTCGGTTTCCTTTAAGGTTTTTTTCTTTTCACGTTTAAGATTTTTGTCCGAGGCCCCCAAGGGGCCCTCCCCCTTTTTACGATCTTTGCTTTACGCGTACGCTAATCTGGAAAGAAAAAGAAAAATATATCGTTTTATTTAAATCGAACAAGTAATATTAAGTACAATATTAAGTCTTTTTTGTTTTGGTACTTCTTCCTAAATTGGTAAGGAATTTTAAACGTTTTAATATGAGATGCCGGTCGGAAATAGTTTGCCAAAAATGTTACTCGGTTCGAATTATGTATATTTAGTCTGGAAAATTTGTGTATAATATATAGTAACAGACTGAACATTGGTGAATGGGTTATTATTATGGAATTCGAAAAATGTCGGTTTAATTTTACGTTGTTAATGTTAAAAAAATTATTACAGTTATTTATAGAAAATGATGGGTTTTACTTTAATTTGAAGATAAAAAAATATATAATATTTGAAATAATATATATAGATTTAATCAAAATGTGTGTTTTAAAAAACCAATATAGACTTGTTTCACCGTCTTTGCAAAGTAATGTTTATAAGTGTTTTATTGAATTTATTCCATAATTTTGTCACAAATATCGTTTTGCTCGGAGATCCAGAAATGTTACAAGTGTGGTATAAAAAGTTAAAGAGATGTAAAATGCCGATATCAATTCTTTTTCTTCTTCTTCATACGAGCTGTTTTGTATATTTTACGTTTTATGGACGTCCAATATTCTTTTTTCCAAATGATTTATCTGGTGTAATCTTCACTATTCGTTGTTCAGACATTCTATTTATTAATAATAATAATAATGCCTTGTCCAAGACAAAATGTCTGTTTGAGAAAATTCATTGGAGAAGGGCTAGGTATGTCTTGAAAGAAAATATAACGTTTTAATTATAATTTGCCAACAATAGTCCTGGATTTATAGAAGGCACAATCTGTTATTTATTTCATTTGCCCCATAATAACATGAACGCCGACCTTTTCAAAAAGCTTCCTAATTTCGATATGTTTAGTTTAATAGTTCTTGACAATACATATTTTCATTCAAGATCAAGGCTCAGTAATTAAGAATATATCAACCTCAACCTCGTTATTATATTGTGGCGCCTCGGCCGTGGGCATCCTCAGCTTTATCAAATAAAGCTGTAGATCTTATGACTAACTAAACCAAGGTCGAGGCAGTAGATTTTTGTTGGCCAATTAAGCAGAGGTCGTTTACGGCCGAGGCTCTATAATTAATATTATGGCAACCTCAATCTGGTCATCATATTGTAACACATCGAGCGCGAGCGGCCTCGGCTTTATCATTTGAGGTGGTAAACTTTTTTGGCTGATTAAGTCGAGGTCGCCTGAGGCCGAGGCTCAATGCTTAACACTTTATCAACCTCAAATTGGTCATCATATTGCAATGCAAATTACTGTAAAATTGGTTACAGATGGCAAGATTTACAAGGAATTTTTTTATATCATGTTTTTGCAACTTTTTTATGTATCAACTTCTCTTTCTATATTTAATGACACACAATGTCAAACACTTTGACACTCTAATAAGATTAGCATGAGGCAAACCATAAATATATGCAGTGAAACCTCACCTCGCATAACAACCATAATTCGTTCGAGAATCTTACTCGTAATGGGAAATATTCGTTAAACGAAACAATGTTTTCTATACATATAAATAAGGGACTTCCCCTATGCGTGTCACCCGTTATGCGAAATATCAATCGTTTAACGAGACAATTTATTTTACTCGTTATGAGAGGTACTCGTTAAGCGAGGTTCCACTGTATATTTTATTCATAATAAAATTTTAAAAATATTTTAATAAATTACTTAAATACAACATTAAAATCTGTTAAACGTATATTCTAAATACGAACATGTTCTTACGTGTTAGATTTATTTATTTAAAAGGGATTTTTTGTCACATTTTTTCTGAAACCTTCCGCATTTTGCCCGGCCACGTAGTACTTAGCTCAGACCCTCTTAATTAAATTTGCCAATGCTTCAGGAAATCAACTTAAAACGATGTACATTTCCCTCGTGTGCCAAATTTCGTTTTCCCTCTCCATCTCGGTTTAAAAGCTATTTTAAAATATCCCTACTGAATTAATTTACATTTTAATTATTAACTGAAAATAAACGAGCACTCAATTTTCTTATAAAAACATTAATAAGATCGTGCTGTATTTCGGGATAAAAAAAATAATCCGAAAAGAAGAATGTTTAAAAAAAATGTCTTGACAACTTTGAACAATCATTATGCTTTAAGTAGAGTGTCCATTATTATGTATTCTTGTCGTTAAATTCTTGCCAAATTCTTGCTTGAAATTAAATATTAAGTTTGGGGTGCCAAAAAAAAATGTTTGAAAGAATGTAGGTACATTAAAATATCTAAGATTAATAATATTAGTCATTGAATTATATAAACAGGTGATGAGAAAGTTTCTGAGTCATTTTTGGAAGTAGTCCGAAAATAAATCGTCCAGATATGGTTAGGTTGATATACGAAAACCTCAAAATAAGTGGTTTATATTTAAAAATGGATTAAATTTAATCCACTTAAATAGCTCCTAAGAGACAACAGCATAAAAATACATTCGACATTTTAACACCGGTAGCCGATTCATTTTTTGATTTCAACTTTCTTATTTTCTATTTAATTTTTTCTGCTTTTGACATATCTTCAAAATAATTTAACTCACATCAACTTTTGCACTTTTTGTATCGTTTCACTAACGTTGAACGGAATTTTGGACCCTTTTTAAAAGAGACAATTCTCTTATTCGATGACCGACAGTTTTTTTTTTCAGCGGCCTTCGAGTCGCCGGCTGAACGCGGACTGAATTTCAGGTGCTCGTCTCCGCACCATGTGATGTAAGCCGAGGTTCTCTGCCAGAAAACGATGTAGTTGGTACTTTTGGAAATAGAAATGGTTCACAAAACATCTATCTATAGGGTGAATCATTAAAATGCTTTTCTAAAAATGATTTTTTAGAAAATTCGTTGAATTTATGAATGTTTGGAAAAAATATTAATAAAAATTGAATTGAACCATACTTTCTTCCTGGGGACTATGTGTTGTTTCGAAATAGATGGTTTCGCAACACGAGGAAATGACTGGGCCACTAAAAATCGAGAACTTTTTACTAATTGACGGTCGTCGACGTTGCTACTAGCCTCTCTCGAAAATAGACCGTCGCTAATTTTAGAGAGTTTCGGGCCCGAACGTGGTACGTTCCTACTTCTCCATCATTTCACTTTAAATTTTAAATCCAAAAATTTTTACTTAATTCAGCCAATCTTTGTATTATTATTTCATTCATCTTAACTTTAACTTAAACTACGTTTAAACTTAGTTAATAAAAAAAAACGAGTTTGGATCAAAGCCATAAACAATAAGAGTAGCACTAAAGCGTGCTTATGTTACAAGTCGACAACGTCCGTTTCACTCCAACAACGATAACATCCCCGCGAGTACCTAGTTTTCGACCTCAGGGTTCCAAGTAAATATCTAATTTGCTCCGGAAACCCCCCGAGAGCACTATTCCACTTTTATTTCAAAGTCGAGAAGGCAGAAATGAAGTCGTTTCGTTTAAAATGTCGAAAAGTTTACGGGAAACATAAGCTAAATAAAATTTTTTATTCTATAATTTACTAAAAATAAAAAAGGAGATTTTTAATTAATTATCATTTTATATCGTCGATTTTTCATGGGATCAATCTTTCAGTATACTGCTTGTTAGTGTAGTATCATCACTATAAACTGATATGGAACATATTTTGAAAATGTTTTGGGTCATTGGATCTGGTGCCACTACAAATATAACTGAATTTGGCTAAAGTACGGTAAAGCAATACTTCAAAACTTGGTTAGACCGTTTACTAGGAGATGTAGAGGCTGAAGAAGAATAAATGGATGACGTATCCAAGGGCAAAAAAGATGGTGATGCCGAGAATGTCGAAAAACGGCACTGCTTACTTCCAAATGTGCAAATTTGTAATTGAAACTAAGCTATCCATTCGCCAGGAGTGAAACTGATTACTAAAACTTATTTTTTTCCGAAGATATTTTAGCATAATTGTTGACTTGATTGAAATAAAAGCATTTTTGGGTTTATTTCAGTTGGCGTCACTTTGGATGGATCAGAGATGGGAGTGGAATTGAAATGTTTTGGTTGACATCTCTCAACAAAGATTTCTCTTTCTACTTAGACATTCGATTTGATGACTTGGAGGCCAGAGATGAAAAAAAGTTGTCTGACAAATTTATACTTATAAGGAACATTTTTACAATATGAAACTTGTTGTGAGCCTTAGAGTCTGAGAATAATTTCACACGTTTTGGCCTTATTACTAATCATTATGAAAATCACAGGAATGGCACCAGTTACTGGAAAACGGCTCACATACGGAGTCAAAATTTTTTTATAGCTTAGATTGCTGTCGAGTGCTTCTAAACGACATAAAAGGATACATCAATATGTTGAACCGTTGGGTTTGGCTGTGCTGACAGAAAGACATTGATAGTTTCAAAAAGAAACACATTGAATTTAATTGTTTTAAGTCCTCATACTACTCAGGAAGAGATCTTATCAAGAGGAGCCGGTTGAATATATCTCTATTAGATTATTGACTCTCTAGAAATTTTGGGGATAAAAATTATTCATAATGAACCAAATAAGCATAATCCAGTAGTGGAATAAACCTGGGTTCTACCGTATTCTAGGTACCGAGCGAGAATCTTTAATTATGTCTAAATTGATAGTTTATTTTCGTAAAACTCGTCTCAACTCAAAATCTAAAACCGATCGAGAAGAATTTTGAGGACAAACATTGTTTATTATGAAACAAAAAGGCATAATCTACAATTAGAATGAACTTGGTTGCCATCATTTTTTAGGCACCGAGCGAAAAAATAAGCTACAAACGTGCCCTATTATGAGCTAAACTTATTCCCAAAATTTCATTTTCCTGGTGTTTATAGTTCATTAGTAATTTTTCGACATTTTTGAAGTCGCCCATGGTTCATATATTAAAGTACCCTTAAAATTCACTAAAGAATCAGCCCTTGAAGTTTGTTGCAGTCATTCAGATACATCCTGTATATATTTCTAAAAATATATATAAAATTAAATAAATATTCCATAAGTATTTGTAAATGAATAAAATATTTGTGTAATAAAAAATTAATAACAATATGCGTATTGTCAATTAACGATTAAAATTTATTATTGACTTCCGGTGTTGGCGGAAACCGTGTTTATTGTTTTATTATTATTATTATTTAGCGTCGGTGCATTATCTGGTATTTATTCGCCGGCGTTGCGGCGGCATGAACAATAAGGGTTGTACAGATAACAATTTTTTCATTAATTTTCCGTCGCATCGCGGTGTAATAAAATTTACCGAGCGAAAATTTTGAACGTAAATCAATGCTTAATTAAAATAAACAATGGGATTAATTTAAAAAGCTACGTGGAACGCCAAATCGCATTTCGGTTGCATAATCGACCGTGTAATGAAGTGGTTTTAATTATTAATATCATTTTATAAACAAAACCCTTCAATATCTAATAAAGGGTTATTTTAAAATTATTACTTAATTTTCATAAATTAACTTAAAAAAGATTTTTATTACAGATTACGATCATAAAAACATAAATTGATGCTACTTTTACGATTAAATTCACCATATCAAATCGTTTAATAGATTATTTTAAAAACATCATCGATTCACGATTACTACGAGTTTTTAAACCTTTTTGGTTGGTTGTTTCGTTATTTTTACGATCTCTGTTTTATGTGACAAGCGTAAAACTGTTAAATCTATAAACTCAATGCTTTCAGCATTTTATGACATCCTCGATAAACCATATAAAAAATATAACATGTGATAATACTTAAATTTTTGAAATAACTTTCATTGTATGATTTAGCTTAGTCTAATTTTAAACCGATGAAAGAGGTTCAAAAAATTTTAGTAAACACGTTTTGGTCATCTTTAGATATTTTTGGAATCGTCCAGGTTGTTTTTACCTCAAAAAATGTATTAATGCGTATAAACCAGGTCGTTTTACGTCAAAGTAGATAAAATTTTCACTGCCAACGTCTATTTTTGAACGAATTTATGAATATTTCGCCTCGTCATCACAACATTATTAACGTTTCTACAAATTTATGAAAACTCGGATTTTTATTTTATAAAATCATAGCATTTTATTTTTATTTTCGCGTTTGGGGCCTCAAGTGACGTGGAAAACGGCGGACAATAATTCAATTTAAACACAATATGTTCAACTTTATTTCTAGAACGGAAGATTTCGCACTAAATCATAACTTTAATCAATAAAAAAGTAAAATAAGTTAAACCTTTATTGACGTTGAAGTCAAGATTAATAATCGTCAATCACTGTTTTTGCTATTAAATTAATAATGTTTATAAGAAAATCTTTAAAAATCAATTTTTTATTAATTATTGATGTAAACTGGGTTGCATAATAGCGAAAATTAAAATTTTAATTTGTTAACTGTAATCATTTCTTTTCATTCAAAATTTATAAATTAACAAAAATTATTAAATAAATTGAATGTTTTAATGTTAATTTTATGTATCAATCTTAATTTTTATAAATAAACAAGGATTTTTTAACGTTTCAATATGTCGGTAAAGTAGAAACCTTTTTCAAAATTTCTCTTAATAATAATAAATTAATGATGACTTATACTCACATACCATTTTCTATTACATAAATCCATGAAAATTAAACTTTAAGATTCCTTACGAAGATGTATCTAAAAGAATAAATAAGATTCACAACTTAAATCAGAACTTCGTTGTTTGAGGAATCAAATAAAATTCTAAATTCAACTAATTAAACTTACAACAAATAAAGAAGAACCCGTTTTGAGTTACATTTGGTCTTAAATTAGTTCATAAGGTTCTACACAAATACTTAATAACAATAATAACAATAAGAAATATAAAAGTGTCACTTTTCACATTTATGACATTTATATGACATTAATCTGAAGTTGTGTACCCAATTAGTTCGTTTAATGTCCGCTAAATGTTAAATTAAAATATAAAATATTTCTTTACTAACTTTAAATGTTACAATTATCATGAAAATAACTTACTAAGTTTTTCAAAATTTTGATGAAAATTTATAAAAATAAATTTAAAGTAAGATGTTGTGTAATCATGTTGGTGTGAATTAGGTCACATAACAACATTAAATTAATTAATTACACTAAATATTTTTTTAAAGATTCTTGTGATATATTATTTAATTAAATCAATGTAATTAACACCGAAAAGGAATCCATAAAACGTGGTATTAATTTGAAACAATGAAATTTTTCACACCACTTTGTGCTACCATCTCTTTCTTTTCATCTTTTTTAATAATCACTTGAATACTTTAGGGATTATTAAAATTTTAATAACCTTTCCAAGCTGTGTACACCCAGCTTAAGTATTTTGTACTAATAAAACCAACAAAACTTTTCTTTAAAATTTTGTTTCTTTAAAGAGCAAAAATCGTACAGAATTTGCTTTCATATTAACTATTTTTAAATTTTTTAACTTTTTGTTAAATTGTAACTTATCTAAAAGAATATTGTTTTCTAAATAGATCTAAATAGACGGGCAAGCGAATAATTCATCCTTATGAGGTCTTTGTACTATCTCGAGAATACAACAAAGACTTTTAACGCGTATCCATTACCATCGAGGTCTTTGTTATGATTGACAATGACATAGTGGAGAGGCAGGAATTGGCGAGTGAGAAGTTTATACGATGTGCTGGAAAGACATCGAAAGACGACGCTCTTTTAAACCT